AGTAACCCACTCTTCATTCCATTTGGTATTTTTTTTTAAAGCTAAAATATAATTTAAAAGAAATCATTGAAAAATTGGTATTACTTTTGGGTTTTGGTGCATACTGTCTTTTTTTTTTTTGGTACGTTCTCTATTTTAAATAAAAGACGTAAATCTTACTTAGTAACTATGGCTCTTGCCTGAATATGAATGCTGGTTACCAGCACCCTGTCTGGGCTCAGTGAGCCGTCTAACACTTTGTAAGTCTAATCATTGTTTCTTCCCTCAGCTTTCCCCCACCTGCACTTCCACACAGCTGCTGTTGAAAAGAATCTATATATTCACAGACTGCCCATTTGGACAATCAATACTTATCCCATGTCTTTAATTTTAAAGGGCCCTCACTGAGCATACTTTGATAACCTCTGATTTAAGAATGTTTTCTTATTTTAATAGATTAAAGAACAAAAAATTGTTGTGGATGAACTTTCTAACCTGAAGAAGAACAGGGTGAGTTATTAGAGTTATTCCAAACAGTATGTGGAAGGGTTTGATTATATCTTATTAACTATATACAAAACTTATAAGAACTACATATAAGATTTATATTATATTAAAATTTACAAGGTTTCAGCATCTTTTTAGTTAAATTGCAAAAGTGAAGTGTCCGTGATTTTTTAATATATATCATATATAGTTATCTACATACTAACCATGGCTGTTGATAATCTCCCCATCATATGCAATTGACATTACCTTTGAACCAAATGATACTAATTGTACTATGTTATCTTGCAGCCATAGTCACTAATGGTATGTATTTTATACTTGAATTGGTGTTTTCTTTTGAAATAAATGAACTTTAAATCTATTGAGAAGAGTAGAAACTATTCAAGTGAATGTGAATAATTGTTTAAAAAAAAAAAAAGATAAATGCTTCCCCTTCCTTCCCGCCCCCCGACCCCAGGTTTTTTACTCAAAGCTTCCAAATCCTTAACATGGTTATTTAACTCCATTTCCATTAATGTATTCACAAACAAGCAAGCTACTGTTTCATGGGTCGTTATACTGCCAAAACATATATTTTAAAGTTAAATGATTTGAGCCCTTTAAAGCATTGTAGAGATTACTTGGTAACTGACATGTTAGACATTTCTGATACAGGTACGGTACAATTGATACAAACTTTTCTAGAGGGCAAATTGGCATAATGTATCAAAGTCTTAAAGCTATGTAACACTTTGATCCAGCTGTTCTATTTATAGGAATTGATACCTAGGAAAGTATCATGAGAGTGCAAAAAAATTTAGGTACAGAGACATTCATCTCAACGTTGATTTATAATAGTGAAAAGTTGGTAACACTTAAATGACCAAATAAACTGAAATATTACTAAAGAAAAATGGTATTATAGTATATGCAGAGAAGAAAGAGTTTTACCTCAGTGTTAATGGTAGCAATTTCTAGATAGTTGGATAATGGGTGAGTTCTGTTTGTTTATCTGTATTTGCTAAGGTATTGTTCTGAACATGTTACTGAAGTTCAAGAATAAGCAATAATAGGGTTCAGAGTTTTAACATTACTTTTTAGAATAAATCATGATATTAGCCTAAATTATGTTTTGCAGAAAGTATATAGGCAGCAACAGAACAGCGACATATTCTTTCTTGCAGACCGAACAGAAATGCTTTCGGAAAGCAAAAGTAAGTGCTTTTGGTACATTATATAGAAACACACAGAAATTCTTTTGTGGGCTTTCTGTAGAAATTCATGATGGTGCCTAAATTATACTGTCTACATCTGAATGTTTAAACATATATCTACATCTGAATGTTTAAACATATATCTAAAGATGGGATGGTGGTATACCTGTTAATAAAATTAATGCAATAGTTTGGTTTTTTTCAAGTTAGCCTTCCAAGGATGAGTCAACAGTAAAAATAAAATCAAATTAAAAAATATAAGATGTGTTAGGAAGCGATAATAACGTAAGCTTTAGAGTTTTAGACAGATCTAGGTATGAAATATTGTTCTACCACTTTCTCCCTTTGTGATTTTGAGTGAATCACTTTGAGCCTCCAAAGTCTTAACGGGATTTAAATAAAATAATATGTATATTTAATGTGCATAGCCCCATGCCTGGGTCAAAATAAGCATTTAACAAACAGAAACGAGTTTCCTAAATACTAAACATTCTTCATTAGAAGCCTGTTGTAAATTATTATTCAAACTAACATAGTCCATATATGTTTTGATCTTGGAAAATAACCTGTTTTGCCCTTTGAATTACTAGGTAAAGGTTCAAGAATTTTTATTTCACTTAGTATGTCTTCTCCCTTCCCCCACAGATACATTGGATGAGCTGAGGAAAGAATACCAAGAAATAGAAAACTCAGAGAAGACCAAAATCAAGAAATAGTCAACTTGATTTTACATAGCAATGTGTGGCATTTGTTGTGCAGTAAGCTTCTCTGTTGAGCATTTCGACAAAGATTTGAAAGAGGATTTACTGTGTAATCTTAAACGGCGGGGACCTAATAGTAGTAAACAGTTGTTAAAGTCTAATATTAACTACCAGTGTTTATTTTCTGGTCATGTCCTTCACTTAAGAGGTGTGTTGACTGCCCAGCCTGTTGAAGATGAAAGAGGCAATGTATTCCTGTGGAATGGAGAAGTCTTTAGTGGAATAAAGGTTGAAGCTGAAGAGAATGATACCCAAATAATGTTTAATTATCTTTCCTCTTGTAAGAATGAATCTGATATTTTGTCAGTCTTCTCAAAAGTCCAAGGTCCTTGGTCTTTTATATATTATCAAGCATCTAGTCATTCTTTGTGGTTTGGTAGGGATTTTTTTGGCCGTCGTAGCTTGCTTTGGCATTTTAGTAGTTTGGGCAAGAGTTTCTGCCTCTCTTCGATTGGCGCCCAAACATCTGGAGTGGCCAGTCAGTGGCAAGAAGTTCCAGCATCTGGAATTTTCAGAATTGATCTAAAGTCTACTTCCATTTCCAAATCTGTTGTTTTAAAATTGTATCCTTGGAAATATAACTCTAGGGAGGATGTTATCAAAGAATGTGTTAATAGCCTAACTCAAATTTCAGCAGATTTGCCAACATTTGTATCAGTGGCAGCAAATGAAGCCAAACTGTATCTTAAAGAACCTGTTGTCCCTTTAAATATGATTTTGCCACAAGCCACATTTGAGATCCATTGCAGTAGCATTTCCAGCGTCCCACCGTCAAGAGAGACCCTTCAGGTCTTTCTTACTGATGGACACATGAAGGAAGTAGTTCAGCAGTTCATTGATGTCTTGAGTATCGCAGTCAAGAGACGTGTCTTGTGTTTACCTAGGGATGAAAACCTGACACAAAGTGAAGTTTTGAATACTAGTAATAGGAAAGCAAATGTTGCAATCCTGTTTTCTGGGGGAATTGATTCCATGGTTATCGCAGTGCTTGCTGACCGTCATATTCCTTTAGATGAACCAATTGATCTTCTTAATGTGGCTTTCATGACTAAAGAAAAGACCATACCAGCTGGTTTTAACAAAAAAGGGAGAAAAGAGAAAAATAATTGTGAAAAACGCTCTGAAGAATCCTCTAAAAATGTCACTGCTGCTGCTGCTGCTAATCCTGGTGAGCAATTCAACGTACCAGATCGAATCACAGGAAGAGCAGGGCTAAAGGAACTACAAGCTGCCAACCCTTGCCGGATTTGGAATTTTGTTGAAATTAATGTTTCTCTGGAAGAACTGCAAAGATTAAGACGAACTCGAATATCCCACTTAATTCAGCCTTTGGATACAGTGTTGGATGACAGTATTGGCTGTGCAGTCTGGTTTGCTTCTAGAGGAGTCGGTTGGTTAGTGACCCAAGATGAAGCAAAACCGTATCAGAGTAGTGCAAAGGTATGACACGGTATTTCTACTCAGGATTTCTGAGACCTAACTTTGACCCTTAAAGCTTTTAGCATTTAAGTTGCAAAAATATAGCGTATTTCAGTTGCATTTAAACTATAACACAAAGTATATGACTTTGTAAAAATTGGGCCTATTTTACTATTTTTTGACTTTGCCTTATGGCTTTTCTCTGAAAATGTTATCTTTGGGGTTATCATTTTTTAAGCTTGACTTTTATCTTAGTTATTTTCCTTATTGTATAGTAGGTAACATTTTTTATATGGATTTCTTTAAACCTTTATAGGTAGTTCTTACTGGAATTGGTGCAGATGAGCAGCTCGCAGGTTATTCTCGTCATCGAGTCTGCTTCCAGACACACGGGCTGGAAGGACTGAATAAGGAAATCGAGATGGAACTGGGTCGAATTTCTTCTAGAAATCTTGGTCGTGATGACAGAGTTATTGGTGATCATGGAAAAGAAGCAAGGTAATTCCTATTATCTATCTGAGGGTTTTGGGGTAATCTTGTAAAGACAATAGACTGTAAAAGGAGATTTTTAGGTTCCTTTTTCTTTGGAGACTTGTTCAAATGAATAACAGTAGCAACAATATCTTGGCTTTATATTACAAACACGGTCAGAAGCAAAGCTGGAGAAGAGCCAGAGGAACAGTTTTTCCAGAACTCATTCTCCAAGAAATGGATTTTCAGTAATTTTCAAATATGATACAATGACATGATTGCTTTTAAGACTACAGTGAAAGACTGTAAAACTTGAGGTAATGAAATACTGAGAGAAGGCGTTTAAGGGGCTTTGTTTTGTTTCAGATGTTTGCTTTCCTCCCAATAAGGGCATAGTCCTACTCCCAAGCTTTCTCCTCCAATGTTACAGAGCCTGACTTTGTCTCTACAGACATTTCTGTATGTACAGGCATACCTGGAGATATTGCAGATTCAGTTCCACATCACCGCAAAAAAGCGAGTCACGTGAATGTTTTGGTTTCCCAGTGCATACAAAAGCTATGTTCACACTGTACTGTATTAAGTATGCAGCAACATTATGTCTAAAAAAAAAAAAAGTATATACCTTAATTTAAAAATACAAAACAAAAAGCAATCACAAGGTAACATCAGAGATCACTGATCACATATCACCATAACAAATATTATGAAAAATTTGAAATATTGCGAGCATTTGCAAAATGTAACACAGAAATGTGAAATGAGTAAATGCTGTTGGAAAAATGGCACCACCAATAGACTTTGCTCATTGCAGGGTTGCCACAAACTTTCAGTTTGTAAAAAAAAATAAATAAGGCAGTATCTATGAAGCACAATAAAACAAGGTGTGCCTGTATAGATCCATAATGATTTAAATGGTGGTTCCGTTCTGGTACTGGATTCCCCTGTCATATGTTTTTTGAACACAGTTTAGTCATATGTTGCAGATTACCTAAAAGTTTCAGAGATCAAGCCACTTTCATGTGTATATTCTTTTTTAATCTTAGGGGTTTATGTTTACTTACAACATATTTTTGATGATAGTAAACAAGTGCTTGAATACAACTTTTTAAAGCATTAAGGATAAAAGAAGATGTTTCATTTAATTATAAAAAGCAGAAATTTGTTCAAGTAGGTTAATTAATTAAGTGATGGTTTTATTACAAGGGTACGAGCATGCAAGAACAAGGAGTCCAAATAAGCTTCGTGGGAATTGGAGCATCATAATACACGAACTCTGAGACTTCATTGCTTCTTGTCTCTACCTTGTCATTCCTGTGTTGCCAGTTCTGACATGTAAAATTATCATAATTTTCAAAATTTCATTATAAAGAAATAAGTAATGCCACAATACAAAGTGTGTAAAATGTTTTCCTTTTGAAGGGTATATGTGTATGGGAGAGAGAAAGAGAAATTCAGTCCATTATTTCAGCTAGGTCAGAGAAAAGGGAATTTATTTTATTCAGTAAAAGCAGTTAATTCTAAAGACCCCCAGGATTTCCCTGGCGGTCCAGTGGTTTCAGACTCCATGATTCCACTGTAGGAGGCGTGGGTTCGATCCCTGGTTGGGGAACTAAGATCCTATATGCCGCACGGTACAGCCAAAAAATAAAAATAAGCCCCCCCCCCCCATGACATCCTTGGGTAAAAATGGATGTGAAGGATGTTTAAAACAGCAAATCAGAATTGTAATTTAACAACTACCATTATAGTGGCTAGATTTAAACTGATTTATTATGGATTTTGGCATACATATTAACTGTAATCTATTAGCTTCTCTTATTTAAATTTGCTTTCACAATTAATTCATTTTTATAAAATATTTTGTATAACAAATGCCTTTACCCTTTCTGATCTTTCTACTTAAGTTAGAATGAAATGTAATGAAATAGAAATACTAGTGTAATTGTATTGCATTTTGAGGAATTGGGAAGGAAGGGGGTGAGATTAGAGTATTTTAAATGAAAAAAAGAACAGAATTTGCTAGAAAATTAGAGCAGAAAGGTTTTTTTTAATCTAATATTTTGTCCTGTTACACCAGTTTGTCACCATTTAAGCAGTTTAAATGTAATTATAATTTTGATACCATAAAGTTTTGCCATGAGTAAATGTTTCACGAGTTCAGGAGAGTAGAGCCCTTCTATATTGGTTTCGTATCCCTAAAGTTCAATATCTTTAGATAGTAAAGAGCAGACACAGATTGAATAATTAACTCAAGACCATGCTTATTTTCAAGGCATCTCCAGAGATTTCTTGTGAAACAATTTGAAATTATTTCTTGACATCATAGGCTTAATTTGTTTATCTATTGAGGGAAAATTTCTTTATATTTTAGCATATGTATTAAAATTAGACAAGTGTTGTGAAATAGTTTTTAATGTGACTAAATTTTAGCCATAAAATTGTATAAATAACTAGAATATTTTTAATCTAGAAAAATAGTGCCCTCAAAAATAAATTTATACTGTAAATATTAACATACTGAAGAAAATGCAAAAGAAATAATCACAACAGATTGATATTTTTCTTTAATAGTAGCTATACTTTTTATTTTAGATTTCCTTTCCTGGATGAAAATGTTGTCTCCTTTCTAAATTCCCTACCGGTTTGGGAAAAGGCAAACTTGACTTTATCCCGTGGAATTGGTGAAAAACTAATTTTGCGTCTTGCGGCAGTGGAACTTGGTCTAACAACCTCTGCTCTAGTGCCAAAACGGGCCATGCAATTTGGATCCAGAATTGCAAAACTGGAAAAGAATAATGAAAAGGCATCTGATAAATGTGGAAGGCTCCGAGTCATTTCCTTAGAAAACCTTTCTGTTGAAAAAGAGATTAAAACGTAATATTTCACAGTGTAACAGGATTTACTGAATGATGATTTAAAAAAATACTCTGCTGCTTTATTATTGTATAATGTGGCTGTAAAATTCATTATGTGGATTTTTACTTTGTAACGTAATACAACCAATTTAATCAAATTGATACCCCAGAGAAAGAGATTATACTTGAAAGAACAACCTGGATATTTTAAACTGTGGTATTAACATTGTTTTGAACTCTTACATGGTAATTTCCCACCAGCAGCACTAAAAGAAGGCAGCTTTTATTGACTCTTCATGGTAGCTATATCCAGAAATAACTCAATTTGTTACTGTTGTTGTTTAACAGATAAGAGAACTAAGGTTTAGAGAAGCTAAACAATTTGTTTGAGGTTCACACTCCTGAGAGACATGTGGTACATCTCTTTAGGCAGCTCACTGTCCCACTCTGAGAACTTCTGAAGACTATTTTAAATATTCTCCTGTCCCACAGATCTCTAACCTCCCTCTTTTTTCCCCATTCTCAGCTCATGACCTTGGCTTTTCACAGAGAAATCAAAGTCATCCAGCTAAGAACTGCTCAGCTTTCCAACACCAAAAGTTCTAACTTACCTGTGTGTGCACTCATCCTTTTCTTCCTTCTTGCCTTTAGAAAGAGAAATATATGCATCCATCCATCAAAAAGGCTGTGCCTCCACCTCTTCTTTGTATCCCAACCCTTCCTGCCTTTCAGGAACCTTACACTTGTCTCTCTAGTATCTTCAGCCTCTTTATAGTATCCTTCGTATAATCATTTAAAATGTTCTAGTCTATACCAATTTAAAATGCACATCCTTGGTCCTACATCTTCCTGTACTTACCATCTCTTGCCTCCCACCCACACTCACCCTTTCCACCTTTTCACCTTGTCACTCAACTTCACTCCATCCTGACATCCACCCACAATATTCAGTCGTGACCACCATAACGCAGGGTCACATTTTGGATCTATCCCCAATTAGGTTTGACACCCTTTCTGGATCTGGACATACTTCGATTCTTTTAATTATAGTGGGAAAGAAATTTTAGGAATTTACATACATTGCTCGTACTTCATAAGTGCAAACATGCAGCTCTCTTAAAGAAGGCAGTGACTTTTTGACATCTCTTGATCTGGGAGAGCAATCACAAATTTATTAATATTCACTACCTCCACAGCAGCTAAGGTAGTGACATGGTTGGAATAAGAGAAATTCTGCCTTCAAACAGTGACCAGAACCCTCCCTGTTGCTAAATTCAGGGAAAAGTTTTAGTTCTTATCTCCCTTGACCTAGGGCAGCATCCAGTGAAGTTGGCCATTCTCTTCTCTTGGCTTCTGTGACCAATACTTGGCTTTCCTCCTGCTCTCCTGACTGCTCGCTTTTTGTATTCTTTCCTGCCTCCACCCTCTCCACCTGACCTTTACATATTAAATTTCTCAGGTCTTCATCCTGGGTTCTCAATTATCTATTCTCTCCCGTGGTGATTTCAGCCACTCCCCTGGCTTCGTTTACCCTAAGCCTGCCGGAATGTATACATCTAACCCAAGCTGCCATTTTTAGCTAAGACGTATATATCTAAGGCACATCTGACATCTCTACTTGGTTCCCTCACAGGTACAACTGAACTCTTAATCTTGCCCTGATCCCCCATAGCTCCTGACAGAAATTGAGGTGTCACCTGGATGACCACCTTCTTTTTAAACTCTGCCACTATTCGATCTGTTCCCAGTAGGCTATCTCATTTCTCAAAGCCATCCACAGCCCTCCATCACCACCACCACCACTCAAGCCTGCACCTGCCCTCTACTGCCATCAATGTAGCGTAAACTCTTAGAATAAAGTTGAAAATCTTTAACTCAGCAGCCTGCATAGTCTGGCCCTCACCTACCTCCTCATCCTATTTTTGTGCCCACATCTCTTTAAGTTCTCTATGCAGTTTTGTTCAGTTTCTCAAAAATTTCAACTTTCTCCTCAGCTCAGTTCTTCATCACCTGTTGTTCCCTATGCCTGGAAAGCTCCTTCTCCAACTCTGCTTGGATAGCTCTTTCTCATCGATCAGGCTCAGCTTAAAAGATCACTTCCTCAGGGCAGCCTTTCCCTTGAAGGTTAGCTTTCCTTCATGTGCTGTCATTACATCTTACATTATGGTACTGTTTAAATGCAGCTGTATGATTATCTGCGTAACTGTAAGCTCCTTGGGGTTTTACAGCTGCCCTTTTCCAGGGTCCCCCAGCGCCTGGCTTATAACAAGCGTTCCATAAATGTTTGTTGAGTAACAGAATGATGATGGAGGTGGGATTCTAACACAGGACTACCTCAGAGCCTGGGGCCCGCTCCTCCGCCGCTCTGTTTCTGTGCTTTCTCGTAGACAAATAGTGAAAGTAGGAAATGACAGAGATGCACGGTTCGCAGAGCCGCAGTCCGGACTGAGTTCTAAAGGGGAGGGGTGGGGGTGGAGTGGGGCATCTGCCTTGGAGGAATCTAAGCCTCGAGCGTCCCTGGCACCGGCGGGAGGCCCCGCCCTCGGAAGCACAGGTGCGCCCCCTCGCGGCGCGACCCTGCCGTCCCAGGCCCCGGGTACCAACGGCTTCGGCCCGCGCTGGGGCGGCGGGACTTCAGCAAAGGCCCGGGCTCCCAGCAGAGCCTGGAGGCTGCGTGGGGCTAGCAGGTCTCCCCAGGCCCTTGGCTTAGGAGAGCCCCTCCCAGCCCTCCCTGCAGCGGCTACCCTCGCCCTCGCCCACGCGGGGCTCCTGACGTTGGCTTCGGGCCCAACGAGAGACCGGTCATTCAAAACAACCACTGTCCTCGGCCCCCGGAATACTCCAAGGACCGGTGTGGACGCAGCTCCCCTCACCTGGACAAGCAAACCATAATCTGAGAGTTGGTTTCTTCCCTTTCCTTGTCCCTTCCCTTTTCCCGTGTCCAGTGGGCATAGGTCTTGAACTTGAGGATGGACAGACCTGGGATGGTTCTGATTCTGAAGGTGTGAAACCTCAGGCCTATCCTGTAACCTTCCTAGTCTCGTTTCTGCGTCTATAAAGTGGGGCTCCCAGCGCCTATCTCGCCGAGCAGCATCTAACTTTTTCAGAAACGGAAATTCTCTGGCTCCACTCCAACCAACTGGATCGGAAACTCTAGGGTAGGATCCAGCAATCTGTTGTAACAAGCCGCAGGTGATTTCAACACAGGCTAGATTTTGAGAACCACTATACAGAGGGGCCAATTAAATGAAATAAATATTGTATATAAAGAGCTGGGCAAATAGTAGATGCTCAATAAATAGTGGTTATGGAAAACCACAAAAAAAAAGGAAAAGCCCAAGCATAGATAAAAGAACAGATTGGTGACTGCCAGAGGCAGGGGGTGAGGTGGGCAAAATGGGTGAAGGGGGTCAAAAGGTACAAACTTCAGTTATAAAATAAGTAAGTCTTGGGGATGTGAGGTATAGCATGGCAACTATAGTTGATAATAAAATCTTGAAAGTTCTCATCACAAGAAAAAAAATTCTTTAACTATGTATGGTGATGATGTTAACTACATTTATTATGGTGATCGTTTCAAAATATATACATATATCAAATTATTATGTTGTACCCCTGAAACAAATATAGTGTATGTCATTTTAAAAAATTTTTTTAATTGAAAAACATATTTTAAATTTTTAATTGAAAAAATTTTTAATTGAAAAAATATAGTGGTTGACCATGAAACAATTAACGTGATAAAGATGAAAGGTACAGATTTATTTCTTGAGAAATTCAGCTTCATTACTATGGTAAATTTTATTGCTTTTCCTTTGTATTCATTGCAGAAACTTCAAAAAGGACACACTAGAATTAATTAGAAATGTTAAGATTGCCCAAAAAAGGAGCACCTAGATTTGATCAAATTCAAGATGAAGAAACTTACCTGGAGAATTTAGCAGTACAGAGAAATGCTTCTGCTTTTTTTGAAAAATATGATCGGAGTGAAGTACAAGAGTTGCTGACTACTGCACTAGTTAGCTGGTTGTCTGCCAAAGAAGATGTCCACTCTCAACTAGACATCCCATGTGGAATTATGAGTCAAATAAATAATGTAGCCTTCTCCACTGCAATCCTACTGACTCCTGTAGACCCTACTGCCCTCTTAGACTATAGAGAAGTCCATCAAATCATAAGGGAATTGGCTGTTGGAATTTATTGCTTAAATCAAATTCCTTCAATCAGTTTAGAAGCTAATTATGATCAGAGTTCTTCTTGTCAATTACCTCCAGCTTATTATGATACCAGAATTGGGCAAATTCTGATCAATATTGACTACATGTTGAAAGCACTATGGCATGGAATATATATGCCCAAAGAAAAACGAGCTAGATTCTCTGAATTGTGGCGTACCATCATGGACATTGATCCAGATGGGAAGCCTCAAACAAATAGAGATATTTTTGCAGAGTTTAGTTCAGCAGGTAAGAGAATTTAATTTGTTTTATTTTTATTAGAAGCCTTTTTTTAAAATTTAAAAGTAATTTATCTGTGACTCAGCTTTATGTATTTAGCCATGTTTCTTGAAAGAGGTTTTTCTGAATTACAAAGAATCTATCTTTTCAATAATTAATAATTAATTTTTTTCAATGTCACCTTCTGAAGCTTGGTTAGGACCTGTTAGATTAGGACCTTGGTTAGAAGTGTTCATTTGCTATTTACTGTTATCTGTGGCTAGACTTCTGTGAAGTTCAAATGCTTGGGAGTAAGATTTGCTTGATGACAGTAAGGCAGCCTGACTCACCTGCTATGGTTGGGTTTCCAGATGTGTTTCAGGCTCTGTAGCTTTTGTGTGTACCAGCAAGCAGTACCATCTCTTGGAGATGGTATCTCTGTGTCTCAAAGACAGTTTAGATAGCTAATAGCTCTCATTTCTATGCAAGGTAATCAACTTCTGTTGAGAGCAGACTCCAAGAGTATTGAGTATAGGCAGAAATTCTACCCCTCTGGGTGAGAATTAGTCTATGATGTTGGTGGAATCAACAAATGTCACTGGATAGGTGCAGAGTACCTACGATTGGAGGATCACTGGCTTCTGAAAGATTATAGCTGTAGCTGGAACTGAAAAATCTCTTCTTGTTGTTCAGGTCCTTGGGGTGATTAGGGTGAAGTAATGCAAAATGCTGCCAGTAATGTCTAGTAAGTTCCATTAATTTCTGCATTCCCTTGACTGGTCTGGTAGTTCCTCTTAAAGGGTACTGATACTTTGGCACATGCAGATACATTGTTGAAGAGAATATGGCATGGTCAAAGTCTTAAAAACATTTGTTAGCGTTCAACCAGAAGTGCTATCATTTCTGGTAGTTTAGGACCTCCAAGGCTAGTTGAGCTCACATAAATAAAATGTATCTAAATTAAGGTGTCATTTTGATGCCAAAGATGATAGGGTAGTTGATGACTCTTCTATCCTGGAAGTTGTCTAGTAATCTATATTCACCACTCACTGGAAGACAGTAGGGAATATGGCACAAGCCAGATAATGTTTCTGCCTACTTGCATTGGCCAAGATGTGTCTATAAACTAAGCTACACCGTTTGCCCTTCTTATTGAGATGATGCCAGGAGCTTTGTGAAGATCTGAGCTCCATGGAGGTTAAGGATCAGCACGATTGGATGGTGGGTTTTAACGTTAGAGCTTTGACAGTCCTGACAAAAGTTGTGTTTGCTTTTCTTCCCTTTTTACAAAGATTACTTTGAGACTCTCATCAGAAAGGAGGTGGAACTAATGAACCATCATTCCAATCTGGCATGTGTCAAACAAAGCAAAAGCCAGAGCTGACAGATTGACTGGTAAAGAAACAAAGAGCCCTTTTTAGATCCAGATATCTAGGTGGAAACTCCATTATACAAGTCAAATTCCGGAGAGTAATCCGGGTTAGAGGTGCACATTGAGGATTCAGTCATTCATATGTTAAAGTCACTAGAGCCTTTGTATCATCCAGTGAGAGTATCAATACTAAGAAGAGAGATGGCCAGGGCAGGAGGGAGCACGTGTCCTGTTTTGTGTATATGGACAAAGGGCTCCTACTTAGTTGATGATAAAAATCAGTTATATCAAGCAACTTCGTGGCCCAACATCTGGTCTATTGAATCTAGCTGTCTATCATATTTGAGGCCACCCTCTATGAGTGGTGCCTCACAGTGGTGCTCCTGGTTGAGGAGATCAGAGACACATAGAAACATTCGAATCAAGGTGTAGGTGGAGTTGGGGAGCACCCAGAGACTAAAATTATCTGTCTTCCATGGCGTACGTTTTCAGGGGTGACATTCAAAATAATTAACCACCAGCACAGCATGAGCACTGACCAATCAGAACAGACATTAGCAATAATGCTGGAACAGGATCTCAGAGACCTCCTGCTTGGCATATGTACCCTTTGCTGGATCATGGAGCTTTCTAGGCTATCCCAGGGAAGGGAGGCATTCAAAGAGCTCAGGGCTATAGCAATTTAATTTACCACACAATATGGAAGATTTCAATATTTTAACAATGTGGCCATATTGATACGTAACTAAATATCGGTCCCAGACATTTCGACTTAATTCTCCTTTTCGGGATGGGAATTCATGTCTCGACTATTATGATTTTTCGACTTAATTCTCCTTTTCGGGATGGGAATTCATGTCTTGACTATTATGAGTTTTCGACTTAATTCTCCTTTTCGGGATGGGAATTCATGTCTTGACTATTATGATTCTACCACTAAAATATCTCAAAATCATCCACTTTGCTTTATCTCAACTACAACACCCTGATACAGAACACTCTTTTCTCTAGCTTTACATACTGCAACTGCCCTCTGGCTGCTCTCTCTGTCTATAATCCCTTTTTCGCTGAATATGAATGAGGCTGGAAACCTTTCAGAGCCAGTCACTCTACCACCACGTGCCTTGGGGAAAGTGCTGTGTATGTTAGAGTAAAGCGCTTTGTAATATTGGTTGCCGGACAATCAAAGAAGAGCATCATATGGGGATAGAGATTTTTTTCTCCCTCCACCACACTTCAGGAGTCTGCTGAAGAACCAGCAGCATCAATATGCTTCAGGCACTGTAACAAAGGTATAGTGCAAACAATTGTAAATGACCAAGCAGCACACACTCGAGGTGTGCTGGAGCAGAGTTTTCAGGGGGAAATTCCCAGAGGCAGCAGCAGGAATAGGTACAGGTTCCCCATCATGCACCACATCTGGAGCATCACTATGAAATCCTGCAGGGCCAAGCATCAGATTCCGGGGAAGGGACCTGGACTCTTAGAAGGTGGGGCTTTTATGCTGCATGCTTAAGGATATACAGGGTCAGACACCAGCATACAAGTGCAAAGTGTATTAGCCTAGGTTACCCCCCAAATTAGGGCCTGAAATGAGGGCTTAAGTCAGAGTAGTTTATGTGAAATGACTCCAAGGAACAGGAGTGAGGGACAGGAAAAGTGAATAGAAAAGGAGGAGTCATCAATCCAAGGATAAGGCTGTTGAGCTTTCATCACGTGAATAATTAGGGACGGTTTTGCTGGGACTCTCTGGGGAGTCACATAGAATACGCTTCAGGATTGTCAGCCCGAGGGATGGAAGAGGAGAGCATGTTTTCCCTGACTTCTCTCCAATTAGTCAAAGGTTCCATGAGAGTTAACTCCCTCATGCAGATTTGTTCGTCCATCAGTATGGTAGAATGGGTTCCGTCAGGAGTCCAACACAGCAGTGGCAGAGAAACCCCAGGGCAGAAGTAAGGGCCATGTGGTGCAGTCAGGTTACATCTGTGTGGAGCTGGTCCATGCAATGACAGCTAGAGTGAAAAATACTGTCTGGGAGGAAGTGAGGTAGGGAACAAAAGGTGTCTGATATAGAGTATGACTTATGGAAATTTGGCTCTAACCCTGTGCTCTCAGCTTAGTCCTTGTAGTTGCCGCTGTATGGTGGCAAGACAGTGGCGAGACTTGCTATTTCATCTTTCACGTTTGGGGAAACAGCACCTCCTCTCTTGACTTCGAGACTGGGTTCAAACCTTGCAACTGACCATGTGATTGCCTTAAACACTGTGCTACAGTGAATTTCCGAGGAACTCTGCGGGAGGCCAACTAATTTTTTGGGAGGGAAGACTGCTGGGAATCACTGAGGCCAAGTTAAACTTCACCTCTTTAATACCTTTTGCACTGTGTGAAACCACCAGCAAACACCACCTTTAAAAAATGGTAGCAACAGCAGTGGAGAGTAGAGCACTCCAAAAATCTAGTCATATTATCCAGTTTGCTGAGAAGGGGTACTCATTAGGGCAGGTCCCTTGACCTGATGACCTTATTTAAAACCAAAAGCTGGTAAACTGAAATGGTTATTTTTTTATGCCTCTGCTCATTCCTTGTCCTTTATCTGGAATGCCTTTCTCTCTCACCCCACTCTTCTGCATTCTTCCCCAGGTTATTGCTACTCATTTTTCGAGACCTGATTCAGACACAGCCTCCTCTATTCTGTACACATTGTACCATTTTATATTGAAATTATTGGTTTCATCTCTGTCTTCCTTAATAGATTTTCTGTGCTTGAGAGCTTGAGAGCACAGAAAAGTATGCCTTTTTTGTCTTTAAATTCTCATCACATCTACAGTGCTTGGCACGTAGTAAATTTCTATACATGTAGAAATTAAATGGTTAACAGATAGAGTGTAAGAGAAAAGGAATTGAAGGAAACTCTCGGGTTTTTAGTTTGAGGGACTGATAGATAAATAGTGCTTTTAACTGTGATAGGGAATGAAAGAAAAGCAGATTTGGGGGAGAGGAAAGGTGGAATTTGTTCGGGAGTGCCTTTAGGACATTCAAGTAAAGATATGTATTAGGCATGGAGAAAGAATCTGGAGTTAGGAGCAAAACCAGGGCAGGAGAGAATATTAAAAGAAATTAGCATAGAGGTTAAAACGACAGAATCTTGTATTTCTCCCCTTCCCCCCCCGCCTTCCAAATGTAGTTATATCCAATTTTTAGTTAAGTCCTCTCTCGTTTTTTTACTTCATAATGACTTTGTACATATCTTCCCAGCTGATTTGCATAACATGCTATGATCACATTTCCTTTCATTAATAACTTCTAATTTTTTGTGACATGAACAATTGTGCATTCTTTAAGAAATTCGCTTAGTTTTCCATTGTACATGTCAATTCAGCCCCAAACTTCTGAACAGAAATATCGAGCTCCTCTCAGTGAAGTGAAATATCAGGTGGTGCAGCAGCTCCTTTTCTCCTTAGAGATGTCTCTCTCCACACTTTCACCCTCGTACTCCCATCTGAGCTGGTCGATTATTTTCTCTAGGCACTTTACTGCTCTTCAAAATCCATTCTCCCATTCTCCATCCTTCCTCTGCCCCTACTCCGCCTCTCTCCCCCTGCCAGTCTCGGTCTTTCACCTGACAGGCCTTCCTCACCAGTCTGGTGATCCTTGCTGTTTGTTCCATCCTGGTTGAGGGGTGAGGCAGGAGCCCGCTTGCTTGACTAGTACACCACACTGTAGAGTGATTAGGAGGAAACCTTGCTGTTTCACTGGGGAGACTTTCCCCAAATGCCGTATTTGTAGGTCTCTTCTCTTTGATTGGTCTGTTTCCTCCTATATCCTGCTTGGAGGGGGCAATGAGTCTGGCGCCAGAGGAGGGGAATGGTCTGTGGAGCTCCCCATTCCCTTCTAGTTTTTCAGCCTTTCTGCCCTTCTGGGGTGAGAATTGACTTGCTGCATTTTGGCTCCCATCCACTCAAGCCACAAAGTTTTAGAGGAATCAACAGTGCTCTAGCTTGTGTTTAGATCTCTTTTAACTGTCAGAAATGCTTAATTTCTTTTTAATCTCAATAATTTATCTTACTAACTCTTTTGCAAAAGGGAGATGAATCATAGTGGCCATCTTAAAAATCCAAGAGTATTCTGGCTTTTTTAATATGTAGATTTGAGGAAGAAAAAAAGGAAAAAGAAAGGGGGGGAGGCACATTGATGAATTATTTACACTTCAAGGCACGTATGTTACAAACTCCACATTTTCTACGAAATCTTATTTTACGGTTCTAAGCCGTTTTCTCAAGCTTTGATTAAGGTTGTAAATATCTTAAAAAAGACAATTTGACAACAAGAAACAATTTAATTTCATCATAAATGGGAAGAAAATGTAATATAAAAATTGTCATTCATAATATAGAGTAAAATCAAGTTTCAGTTCTTGTTTCATCATGATTAGTTGGTAGGAAAGTTATTTATTGTATATGTTTAGCTTCTGTTATCATCAAAAAGAAGAAATATGTAATATAGGAGGAAATATACTTTATGCCCAAGTAAGAAGCTGGTTCTCTGCTTAAAGGAAGATCACATTTCTTGTTGTTCTTCCATATTTTCTTTGATTAAAGATGGGACTTATGTTATTATGTTTTCATGGTGTTGTATTTCTCCAAGGAGAAGATCACATTTCTTGTTGTTCTTCCATATTTTCTTTGATTAAAGATGGGACTTATGTTATTATGTTTTCATGGTGTTGTATTTCTCCAAGGAGAATGAAAATCAATTCTTTTTAATTCCACAAGCTTCCATCTTTCTTTACTCCGCTTAGTTACCACATATCTATCTGCTTTTATTCTTTGACAATTTTACCGGCATTTCATTATCCCTTTGCTGTCATTTCGGTAGAATTTCAAGATGAAACCCTGTCTTCAATCTACTCTGTTTATCCAGAGACCAAGTAAGAAATTTTCACAATCTAAAATCTTTCTTTTTTACTGTGAAGGTTTGATAGATATTACAAAGGATCCAGACTTTGATGGCATCTATGATGAAGACATGAATGAAGATCCAACATATAATCCCAATAGCCCTGAAGAAAAAGCTGTATTTATGAAATATGCTGAAAATATTCTACTAAAGTTGACATTCAGTACCACACAAGTTCAACAGTGTGAAAATGTTTTTATATTTGAAACAGCCTATTGGCTTACTAATGCTGTAAGATATAATCAGGATTATCTTGACATTTGTACCTACCAGAGATTACAGCAAAGGTTATATCTTCAAAAAAAGATTATTCAAAAACACTTTGAGAAGAAAAAAGAAATCAGGAAAGGGATAGGATACCTAAAATTAATATGTTTTCTGACTCCATTTCTACTGAGTTTAAAAAAGAAGATGAAAGTTCCATATTTAAGTAGTCTGCTTCAGCCTTTTTCAGGTAAGAGTATCACCAAAAATTATATATAAAATATAGCTATATATTGAACTTATATGTAAATTCAATTTTGTTTCTAGTATGTGGGTCCCAGCATGTAACCAAGCTGTAGCCTGTTAAAAATAAAAAGCAAAATGCAATGTCTCCAAAGTAATTAAAAATACTTGGTATATTCACACAGTACATGGTATATATTTATATCAATTATAAGGACTGTTGAAAGACGTAAAATGAGTTCTGAGAAAATAGGGAAATATGCTATGTTCACAATGGGACAACACTATATTATATCTCATTCAAATTATAAGTTCAGTGCACTTCTACTCAACATCCCTATTGTGTTTTTCATGAAAGTTTACAAATTGATTCTGAGATTAATATGGAGCAGTAAAAGATCATGAAAAAAAGATGAAAACATAAAAACTTTAGTAATATATTGGTATTATAACAAAGAAATAGAGAAATGTAGGAGAATAGAGAGCTAAAATAGGACCATGTTTACATGGAATTTGACAGGAATGCAGAGCAGACTATTCTTCCCACCCAGATTAGCACACAATTTGTGTATTTTCACTGGTGCTCAAACTTGTAGGCTTATTATAGTGGGCTTTCTATTCAGATGGCAAATTTTCAGTAGAAATTTTACAAGTCACTTAATGAAAATTTGTATCATGAGAATTATGATAGTGAAGATTATAATCCATATCTGTAAACTATTTAAAAATGGACTCATGACAGCTTGTCCAGGATGGGGGTGGGGAGAATGTCATGTGTATGGAACTGATATGCTTAAAGAGGATGTTAGCTATATCTGTAATGTCTTATTATTTAAATTATTGGAAACAAATACGACTAAATATTAATAATTAATTTCCAGGTGGTGAGATTAAGGTGTTATATTTTTCTTTGTACTTTTCTAGACCTTTTGCATTTCTCAAAATACATTATATACCTTATATTGATGAAACTATATTCTGCTAACAAGTCAAAATATTGAATAAACCTAATCCTTGCCAGGATTTTAGAAAATGATTTTTCAAAGTAAATTTTATATGTGTAGCTTCATTACTTTCCAGAAAAATGGGCTGATTATTTTTGTCATGTGAGAGATACCCACCTTTTTCTTTATAGTATCTCTCTTTTCCTTAACTAGCTCAGGTAACTTTTATTTATTTAACTAAAGATTCTCCACGGCACAGAGTTTCAAATCTTTTCTGATAATTGGGGGTAAAATATTAGTCTTGAGCTCATATATAGTAATCAATAAGTAAAATAATGTTTTGATTATTCTTTTGAAACGTCTGTACAATGAAACTACAAAAAAAGACCAAAATGTATGATATAAATATATTTTAATATTTAAAATATACATTAAGAGCATGAATATATAGAATGTAATTGCCAAGATTTCCATTTCACATAGAATTTTTTCACTTTATGAGAAAGAGAATTTAGACGTCAAAAATATGATTGCCTATATGCTGTTATTCAATTTTTAAACAAAAATTTGTTTTCATTTTTGGAGATGACAAGGTCAAGACAGAGCGAGAATTGCCTCCATTTATTTATGGACGAGATTTTAAATGCCAGAATTTTCACTACAAAGAGGATGAGTATTTTCACGTTCATGGAGGAATTGAATTTGATATCAGCACTCCTTCAATTGAGAATGCTTTGGAAGATTTTAAGGTTTAAATTATTATTGTTCCTGAAATGGTTTGTCATTTCACAACTCTTTTATCCTATTCTCCAACCAGAAAGATTCTCTGTTGGTACAGGCACTAGGCAGCTCTCCAAATGATTATCTTCACAACTCACTAATTTCTTCAAACATTACATAACATATATGAATTAAGTGCAAGTATATCTAAGGTCTTGTGTTAGATGTCAGAGATAAAATGATAAATAAGCTAGGCACAACTATCCTTGCAGAATTTACAGACTTCTAATGGACCACATTTGCCCTAGAATAGTTAACCGAAGAATACAGTAGAAATCCCTGAACACTAACTACATATTCTTCCATTTTTCTCAAAGATTAGTATTAGAACAGAGATCCTCTGAGTTTGAGAACAAAATTCATCTGGAAAACATAATACATTTCAATTGTCATTGTTTTTCTACCTTCTCCATATTATATTCTTTTTAAAAAATTTTCCTCTCTAATCCAAATTAGGGATTGGATATATTCAGTTATTACCAGGGTCACTTGGGATTTTTTATTGAAAATTTGTCCTTTACAGGTATAAAATTTCATCTAAAATAAGTTAACAATTGTTTAGATTTGTTTAAAGATTTTTTTTTTAGTAACATAACTTGTATTTTAGAACAATTTAGAAAAAATACGGGATTGTGCTGCTAATACGTTTGCAGAAGATTCAGGATACAAAGAATATTACTCAATACCAATCATGAAATTAAATGGAAAAAGGTAAGGAACTTTTAGTAATTATTCACAGTAACACAACTTGTTGAAAGCAGAAAACTGGAAAGTGTCAAAATGCAAAGGCTAACTTGAAACCTCAAGATGGAGGTCCTAGAACAATAATAACCCCCGTGAATGACTACGGACTCTACAAAGTATTAAATGTTATATTTATTACTTCATACACCTTGATACGTTCTGTGTAATAATCCTTAGACATTGTAATTTGTTCTTACAACGAACACAGTGGTTAAATGGGGATGGAGGTGGGGCTCAAATCCTATGGGCCCACTGAAAAGCAATGGACTCAGCATACACCCCTTTGTTTCCATAAGGAATATGATTTTAAATCCTCTTCCTCTGCTGGGTCTTGTTAAGCCTGTCATCTCTTAGAGCACCATGTTTCTCTCAGTATTTTTAGGCTCTTTTATGTATGTTCTTGGGTTTTCACAGCTTGGAAACTGAAATTTGTAAATAAGGGAAATAGAATGCAGAGGAAACATTTGAGTTGGAGGTAGAGACAAGATTTTAAAGCATATTGGAGTTTGTTTTGTTTTTCTTAAAGTCATGGAAGTAGTTGAGAGGCTAGGGCCATGTCAGGAACTCTGGAGAATAGAAACCTTTGAGGGGGGTGGGGAGTAGCAGAGGAGAGAGCAAAAGAGACTGAGAAGGAATGATAGAGGTAGAGGAGAAACGAGAAAGTATGACAGCATGGAAGCCAAATGGGGAGAAGTTTTAAAATATGGTAATAGTTAACAACGTCAAACTCAAGAGAGAAAAAGGCCAAGTTGATTTAAGACTGAAAGCCCTCTAAATTTGACAATGACTTGATAAGAGAAGATGTGGTTATAGAAGGCTATGTGTAATAAGTTGAAGGATAAAGTCGGGGAGAGTTCATGGGATGTGAAGAAGTAAAGACAAAGATTATAAATTTCTTTCAAGATGCATGGCAGTGAGGAAAATAAGAGGAATAAGGCAGAGGGAGAAGCAGATAAAAGATGAAAGGTGGATCTTTCCACGGAATACTGCCTGGATGCACACAAGGTACTAGAGCTAAAGTCAAAGACCATGTGGCTAACAGCCTCCATGATTTTGAAGGGAACTAAGAAGTAGATCTCACTCCTCTGGAATGGACTGTTGGTGTGCATCTCCCTGGAGGAGGAATCTCTGAGGGACCTAGCACCTGTAGACATACTCCATGTACGATTCTTGTCAAGCTGGAGGCTCTTCTAAACAAAGGTTTATTCTCCCAGGTTCTAGTGTCTAGTGGGACATGAATGATCCTGGAAATGCAGGGAAAGAGCTGGAATGAAGGCTGTGCTTGATGAGAGGTTGTTGTGGGTGAAGGAGTATGGTTGGTGTAAGCACCCTGCCATTGCACCCTAAGGGATCCAGTCATATCGCTGCAGTGGGATCTCATAGTGGAATTGTTTCTCTAGTTTCTGACGAATGCACAGCATTTGGTTATCAGTGTTGGCAAATTGTAGACGGATTTGAATTTTCAGACTTTCAAAACCAGCATAAGCTTGTTTCCCAGACCCAGCCAGCATGGAGTAAAAGTGAAAACCACAAGAGGAGGACTAGTATTTTCCTGGCTCCTGAGCCAATTACCAGTGAACCTTCAGTTCCCTATAAAATCTACCCCCACAGAATTATTTCTAGAAATCTTGTATTTCCATGGGTCAGCACTCTCAGCTACTATGACATTTTTTCGGTCTCCTCCTTTCCTGCCTGGGCTCCCTGTAATGATCCACTGCTGGAACTCCAGAGCCCAACAGCCCCAAGAAGGCAACTCGATACTGATGTCACTGTTGTCTCTGACACTGCTGCTCCTGGTTACAGAGCTGGCATCACCCCTGGGCTGACTCCTCCTGATGTCTGGTAGATAGCACGCATCAAATGTGAGATGTGTTGAAGTCAATTCAATGACATAAAGATAATTTCTTTCCCAATTTTATTGGTTTCAAACAAGTGCTGTCTTGAGCCCCTAACAATTTGGTCCAAAAACAGCTCTTTCAGTCATTTTGCTTACAGTTGTTTCTTTCTATGTAGGGATCTTCTTTCTGTGTTGGTCCTGGACCAGAGAATAATCTGAATGATGGAAAACATACCATCTCAAAATCTCCCCTCTTCTTTGCTTTTAGGGGCACTGTTATTGGGCTGAGCTCATGTATCGTGATGTTCTCTTTCCTCAGAATGATTTACTTCCTAGGAGACTCCCGGTCCCTAATGAAAATAGGATCATTCCCACTGGCCTTCCTGCCCTGCTTGGAAACATCTAAGTCCTAGATTCATTTTTGGCTCAGGTTGTATTCTTCCACCATACCAACATCAAAAAATAGGAGCCACAGTCAGATACCCAGGATTTGGCAGCCCATGAAAGTAGAAGAACTCATGAATTATTAAGATGACAATGATTGGAGCAAATAGATGAGTTGATACTGATACTAAAATGTCCTACTTGGGGGAGAGCATACCAGCATCATGTTGCTGTTGTGGATGTTGGGAGGCAGGTCAGAAAACAACTTGACGTGACAGTGGTGTGTCAGGGAAGTGTGATGTTAGAGGGTCCTACTGCAGTCCCTAAGCTGAGTGCAGATGCCCAGGCAGAAGACTGTGGAGGGAGTTGTTTAAAAGTGAGGCTCTGCTAAAGCCCCTGCTGATGCCTACACTTAAAGTCTTGAGTAAGAACAGTGGTGTGTCACTATGCAGTACTTGGATGAGGGCTCACTCACAGTGCTGGCCATCTGGGCTTTCTGTGCTTCCAGTAATCATCTCTGTGTGGGCCATTGTTGGCCTAATGCACAGGTTGTGTATCCAACTTTGCAGGGGTGGGAGGGGTCACAAAATTCTGAGGTCAGAGACTTTTTCAGGGTACGGTGATCTTCACCACCGGTTGCTTCTCCAGTTTCTAGGGTAGGACAGCTCCCTGCTGGTTTTGGATGTTTGATTGGTATTGGATGATTAGACCAACTTTCTAAAAGAAATCAGCCTACCCTCCCTTGGTATTTGTTAAATTCATAAGTTTGTTTCATCGCTTGGGCAGTTATCTGGGAGTACATCACTGAGTACCGGGGCTCCAAATGTAGTCAGCAGCTTCTGATTCCATAGCAATTTCCCACAGCCAGAGCCAGCTCCCTAGAGAAGTACATGAAAAGACAGAGGTTTCTGACACTGGGATTCTCTTGGAGCAAGATGATGTAGAGCTGGGCCAGCCAAAGACCAAAGGATATCCTTAGTGTAATCCCTCATGCCTAGATCTATGGACACAGTCTTACGGGACTTGGGGTATCTGTATATGGTGTCCACTCTTATCAGTGTGTATAATACCAAGGAAAGGTGAGCCGTTTTCTTCCAGAAATTTAGTTTAGTCATCCAGTGCAAATCAAGTATCCAGGTCTGATCCATATAGCTCCTTAAGGCCCATTAGCCTATCACCACTATGATCCGAAAGCCTTCAAATCTGGGTGGGATTCAGAATTCCTGCTCCTCAATTTCGGAGGCTGGAGTCTAGTAAGTTAGGCAAGTTCCCATTGATGAAGGTGGACAAAGTGACAAGTCCACCACCTGGCCTGGCACTATACCTGAGAGGTGCGGGTAAAGAAGCCTTTAGTTTATATTCTCGTAGTCTGGTTTCCTTTGGGGGAAGAAGATGGTGGGTATGAAGAATGACAGTCTCAAATAAATGCTAACAGGTCCTCAAATATGTCTCCATCTATGCAGAGGTCTATTATATTCAGAAAACTGGGATTGAAGTAAAGGTCAAAAAAGAGAAGGTATTAGCCCCTGATCGGTTCATAATAGAGTGTTTTCCTAAGATCTTCCTTTAACTGATCCATGGCGCCCCGTGATTCCACCTTAGCCTATGGGCAAGGAGTTTCCTTAGCATAGAGAGTCACCGACTCACTTTACTGGAAATTAGCATAATGGAAAAAACTTCTCAGCATCCTTAGGAGAACTAATAGTCCCTGAGCAGCAAAGTGAAGAGCCATGGGAGGGGATCACCACTGTCAAGAATACTGTTTTTACAGCAATCAGTAGTTGCCTTTAGAGGAGAAACCCAGGTAACATTAAGAGGCTTCCCACTGGCAGAGGTGGGGACAGCAGCTGAGACACTCACCACTGAAATCTGGCAATGGAGAAAGGTAACTCGTGGCAGAAGTGGAGGAAGGCCACCATTTTCTTTTTACCTGTGATGATAAGCAACCCCAGGGAACAGAGCCACTCAAGATGTTGTCATTTTTTCATCCCAGAGTGAGAGGGGACTGGGCCTATTGCCTACCCATGATTCAAGGACCTGGTGGGTTGGGGTTTCTCTAGCCCACTGTGCAGTGAGTAAAAGTCAAGCAGCCATTACCCAAAGCATCATTCCAAATCAGACTCACGGTCCACTCTTGAGAAAGCAAATATAGACATAACTAGATTAAAGGAATTAAAAAGTAAATTTGTAAGAGGAGATTAAGCAGATGGTTAGAAGGTAAACCTAGGAATCTTTCAACCAGAGTTAGGACTTTCGGTGACTTTTAGGCAGTGCCCCTAGTCAGTGGTATAGGAAAGACAGAGTCAATTAAAAAGGTCAGTATGGAGAAGATACTTGTTATAAAAGACCTGATTAATAACAGTTGATAACCATGTCATTAAAATACAATCAAGTACATTTTAAACTATATTTTGTATTTGTTATAGAAAATCGTAATTGTTATAGAAAAAGTTTTGCCGGCATAGAAAAAATGTAACAAATAACTTCCAAGTCAGAAAGACTTAAATTGTTTTCATTTTTTTTAATAGCTACTATGTGATCAGTTTTGAACTTGAAATTTTCTATCAGCAACTATATAAGACAAAGTGGTGGGGAGCCATAAATGAAATAGTGAACAATCTGAGACTGAAAAGACTTCCACTGACAGATGCTCAATTACATGAACAATTTAAGAAAAAATTTGGTTTCAAAAAAGCTATGAAATGCAAGGTATTTCAATGATTACCACAAAATTTAGTGTAAGAAATTATAAATAAGTATATGTCTCAAATTTTTATCATAGGGATAAATAATAAGTTAAATAAAGCCTTCAATATGCAATTAAGATTCCACATTTTAGCAGCTGAAAAGCTCTACAATTCTGGATTACAAACTTCTGGCCAGGTTACAAAACAACCTGTTTATGAATGGAATTGTGATTAATATTAATAACAGCTGAATATCTATTGAGTGCTTATTTTGTATGCCAGGCATACAAATACTATAAATTCTTTGAACAAATTCTTTCAAGACACTGATACTATTGTTATCAATCCTATTTTACAAATGAGAAATTTGACATGCAGCGAGTTAAGGATCTTTCCCAAATCACACAGCTAGTAAATTGCAAAGGCAGGCTTCAGTCGTGGGGACTAAATCTAAGGAGCAAACCTGGCATCCTGAATCAAACCTCTGTATCTGCTTCAATATGCCTTGACTGACAGCTTTTGGAACTGATAAATTAAGTGGTGAGCTCACCAGTTTCAAAGGATACATTGGCATTTACTTACCATTTATTTGTTTTAATGTTCACAAATTTTAAGCTTTGATAAACTATTAGTTTAATTTAAAAATATTATTGCAAAGCAATTATATGCCAATAAAGATGTTAAAAAAATTGAGTAGTCAGAACATCTAAAAGAAGAGTGTAACATTGTCACCTCTCCACTTTGAGACATAGAGCAAAGAAGACAAACTGTATTCCTATAGCTATATATTTCAAGTCTCTAGACTTCTAAGTAAGATTGTTCTTAAATCAGAGAAGGAATTCGATGTCCATTTGCTTTTTAAATATTTCAGAAAGATATTTGTTTCCTTGTTTTAATTGTCTCCAGAGAAGAAAGATTTACAACTTCTCCCTTAAAAAAAGGACAGGAAAAAAAAAAAACTTCCCCAAAATATTTTTTAAAGTTCTCAATGTTTCTTTATAGCTCTAACAACTTCCTTGCCCACAGATCTTGTGAAAATTCTACTGTAATTGCACACCAATCATGTGATTATAATAATATAGTTCATTGTACTTTTCTTCCTTTAACTAAACTTCAGGTGTATTTTGAAAAAACTAATTCTGGCCTTCCTAATAATTTTAGAGTATCCCATTTGGTATGAAGTCTGCTGCTGAAAGAGGATTATCTGCTGTTTTCCATACATTTAGCCGTAAAACTTCAAGTTCGACGATCAATGTTTCAGATGAGGCAGGTTATGCTATTTTCCATCAAGCTGCTCTACACAACAGAGTTCCAATCATATGTCAACTGTGCAATGCCAACTTCAATGTTAACCAGAGACGCTTTATTATACTTAGCCAAGGTACCATAAAGTTTTTAAATCTTAAAATGTTTTTCTTTTACTTACCCCTATTCGGCATTAGGAATGCATGTTGATTTTAGCACAAGGTTAAAATTTAGTATTGGAACCTAGAGAAGAGCTGAGGTTTTTGTTTCACTTATCTCAGAGAGGCTCCTTTTAGTTCTCTAAGTATCACTTGTTGCTCCCTTATGTAGTAAATATTATTTATTTATTGTGTTTCCCTCATTTGAATATAAGCTCCATGAAGGGCAAGGATTTGGTTTAGTTTGTTTGCCATGGTATCCTAGTGCCCAGAAGAAAACCTGGCATTGGTAGGTGCTTGAGAAATATTTGTTGAATGAATGGCATGATGGATGAATTCAGGGTAGCCTTTGATAATCACTGACATAATTAATATACAGTGATGTACTGTAGAAATTCTGAGAAAAGGGAGATAAATAGACATCCCAGCAGAACATCCATTTCTTATCCTAGGCTCTTAACCAGGTAATAGTTTCTTCATACTACATAAACTTATATTTAATAACAAAAAATCCTCTATAATCATAATTTTAGGATTAATGACCCCTTTAAGGCTAACCTGGTTTCAACTTTAAAAAGCAAATTTTCTTGATTATTATTGTAGATATGCATACATATTTATATGTTCATTGGAATAAATTTAACCAGTATAAAAATAATAAAATTGAAAATAAAGTGGCAGCCCTCCACAACTGAAGAGGGAAATAAAATGTTGGGAATAGCTTATGCAATAACATTGGCAATAAGAAATGGCAATTTTATATTTTAATTTGCTGCCTTAAGAGACTGTGCTTAAGTTTCACACCAACACAAAATGTGCTGCTTTAATCCTGTTGACTACTGATAAATTTCATACTCTATCAGTATAATTAAAATGTTTTGGTATTAAGATGCTTCTGTTACTTAATTAAAATATTCAATACACAATGAACTTAGTTAAAATAGAGCAAAATTCAGTCAAAATGCAATGGGTGGCCTGTTATTTAAAGATGTGTTTTATTTTAAGTGTTTTTGGTGTAAAAAAACCATTGGTAATTAAAGTTTCTCATTCATCCTGTGACTACATAGATTTCCATTTGCTAAGAACTGAGTAGAGTTTGAAGTACGGAAAATGTCTATGTGTTATTACTTAACCAACACAAAACTGCCCCCTGTGAGTTTTGGCCAGCCACGAGCGAGGCAGCGTTTCTGGGTCTGCTCTGATGCAATGACAGACGCATGCCCACACCCAGATGACTTGGCCCAAAATTACACTCAGTCCTGCTGGATGTAATCCTGTCACCTGCATCTCAAAATAGTCATTTTGTTCTCCTTCATATGAGTCAATGTTGACTAATTTAGGAAAACTTTTGCATACTAATAATCATACTTCTATGTATATTCCCTTTTAAAACAGAGTCATCAAAACTAGACATGAAAAACGAAAGAAATGGTAAGACATAAGTAAAATACTTGGTGCATTTTTAAAAGTTTATATATTAAAACTTTTCTTGTAGTATATAATCTTCAAAATGCTGTCACATGAGAATAACACAAAATGATTTTTATATACATTTTGAAGTATACATTTTTTCTACCCATGATTATTTATTCATCTTTTTCTTAAGTTTTGGGGGATGGTTCTCTTTTTTTTAACCTTGGAATTTGCAAATTATCTCTACTTATTTTTGTAAAATCAGGCCCCAATGTGGGTTTTATGCCTAAAAAAAGAGCAGTTAATATTATTTAGATATGCTGCCATCTAGTGACATTAACAATCTGAGGTCTGAGGAATGAGTCATTCTTGCTGAGGTGAGAGACTTGACCTAAGTATTGTGTATGATGAAAACAGAAAAAAATTTCAAGGATACACCTTCTATATCTATATCTAAAAGGCTATACCTTCATACTCTATATAGGCTAATTCAAGGAGGGTTTATTTTTCAAGAAACCATTTACAAAGACCTGAATTTTGTAAGGGGAGGGTAATAGTTATGCAAACCAGCCACCTTCCATTGGTGGAAGAACAGCTAATGTGAGATGACCAGAGAGGATAAGTATCCTGACCTCATCATCCTCCTTCTCCAGTCTCCTGCCAGGGCTCCTCATTGGCAGTTACTGACAAGAAGCCAAAGGACAGGGGTTGCAAAATCTGCAGAGGCAGAGAGCAGGGAGCGTCTTAGAGGGCGGTGAGTGGGCCTGGAGGGGGAAAAGAAAGCTTACCTACAGGCTCACCTACGCTGTAGGAATTTGCAATTGAGTAACAATAGTACGCCTCCTGCATCATTGCTCTGTTTTTTCCCCTTTTTCTTTTCTAAATATTACTTATGGCTACCTTGTATAATATTACTTATTTGTTTGTTGTGGCTTCCTCCATTGAATATAAGGCCCATAAGGGCAAGGATTTGGTTTACTCTGCCATAGTATCCTAGTGCCCAGGAGAAAGCCTGGCGTTAATAGGTAGTTGGGAATAGTTGCTGTGTGAACGCATGATGGATGAATGCAGGGTAGCATTTCATAATCACTGGCATTATTAATATACAGTGATGTACTATAGAAGTTCAGGGAAAATTCAGGGAAAAGAGAAAAATGGCTTTCAGGTCCCATTAGAGCATCTGTTCTTTAGACCAAGGTTCTTTCTCTACCTGAGAATAATTTCTTCAGACTACATAAACCCCTCCAGAACTTCCCTGATTTGAGCATGACTAGGACAGTGTTTCTCAGCCTCAGCACTACTGACATTCGGGCTTGATAAGTCTTTGCTGTAGGGGCTATCCTATGCGCTGTAAAATGTTTAGTAGCAGCCGTGGCCTCTACCCACTAAATGCCAGTAGCAACCCCTACCCCAGCTGTGACAACCAAAATATCATCAGACATTGCATATGTCAAGGGGAGACATTTCGTCCCACTATTATTGGATAAACTTTCAAGTATGTAGGAATCACACAGGTATCTTGTTAAATGCAGACTGATTCAGAGGGCTGGCTGACAGCCGAGATCCTGCATTTCTATTAAACACACTTTAAAGGAGTAAGGGGGGCGGGTGTAAGAATAGTATTCCTGCCCCTGGGTTGTGCTGAAATATTTTTTGAAGGAAGGTAGAGAAGAGAAGGAGAGGGTCAGTGGGGAGGTTAGCATTGTTTAAAACAAACAAACAACCAAACCAAACCGAACAAACAAACTTCAGTTCATTTTGATGTTTCTCCTGCTGAGCTAATTGTGTTTCATTGATTGAAATGAACCAAAATGTTCTGTAGTCCTATGATTAGGTCTCAGTCTTTTGGGGAACTTGTGCTCCTGAACCATGAACGTCAACTTGCTTCTCAGTCCCTGCCTGCCCCTTAGGTGGATCAGGATGGCTGAAGGGGACTGTAATTGGGTACTTCCCTTCCCCCAGGCAGGTTAGGCTCCGATAAAACCTCAGCAGATGAGGCTTCTGAGGACCGACTGGCCTTGTTAAGAAAATTAGAATGCTGTGGTGTATTTCCAAATGGTTCCTTTCCCCCTTCCCCTGCTGGAAGCACAAGGGGGTATTTCTTCAATATTAACTGTGAGGACCTGGTCGAGCTCCTGGAGGTAAAACTGTCTAGAGCATGGGGGCCTCTTATGACTGGGCCCCCTGGAGTTTCTGACTATCAGACTTGTCCACACTGAGCCACCAGCAATTTGTCAATTACACATCAGGTTTTCTGACCCTGCCACTGGTGCCTATAGAGGTTTCTGCTCTTGGATTTCTGCTCCAGTAAGTTGTGATTCTCTGTATCTGCCTGTCTATCTCTCTAGTTTTGGGAGCAGCATTTTTGCCCTGTGACCTCACTTCTCTAATGGATCTGAGAAGAGTTGTTCATTTTTCAGTTTGTTCAAGTTTTTACTTGCTTTTAGGATGGATTGGGGACTTTTAAGCTCTTTACATGCCAGAGCAGAAATTGGAAGACTAAGCAGTAATTTTAAATAAATAGATTTGGGTCAGATGTTATAGATTATCAAAGGCTATGATATAGAGCTTAGACTACTAAGGCAGGCAGGAGGCCGTTGGAATTTTCTGAGTTGGGAGAAAAACAGTGCTTCACTGAGGAAATACCATTTTGGCTGATGAATAAATAAGACTTAGGTAGACCCCAATCAGAGAAGTGTTGTTTGGGAGAAGGAAGCTTTCAGACAGCAGAAATAGCCCAGGGTGACTGGATAATTCATCATCCAAATCAGGGAGTTTGAAAATGGAAGGACAGTATTAATAATTATGCTGGGGCAACAGGCATAGACCAGTACTTTCCTGGACGGTCGGTCACCCTACATTTGAGGAGCTACAAGAAGGCCCAAATAAAGAGAACAAGGTGTGTATGTTGCCTTTCTTTCTCTCTTTCTTTCTTTCCTTCCTTCCTTCCTTCCTTCTTTCTTTCTTTCTTTCTTTCTTTCTTTCTTTCTTTCTTTCTTTCTCTCTCTTCCTTCCTTCCTTACTTCCTTCTTTCCTTCCTTTTCCTTTTTGGAGGGGGGATGGTTCAGGTTAAGTTGGAGCCAGTGCATCCTTTTCCTGTACTAATGATCAGATGGCCTCAAGAAGTCACTAAAGAGTTTTAAACAAGGAGGTAAAAAGATCAGATTTACATTTTGAAAAAGTGGATTGGGAAGGGCGAGAACAAGGTGGGGATATCAGTTTGGAGATGATTATGGCCTTAAGTAGGGTGGTGATGGCAGTAAAGGTTACGTTCTAGAGATATTTAGACTTGGTGATGGGGACTGGTTATGAAGATGAAATGAGAGGAGTCTTTCAGGTTTCTGGTTTGTAGAACTGGCTGGATGATGATATCCTTCACTGAATTAGGGAGTGATGAAAGAGGATCAGGTTCGGAGGAAAAGATAGGAGTTCAATTTTGAATATGATAAGTTTGAAGTGGTGTGTGGAGATGCCTAGTGAGATGGTAGATCTGGAGCTTGGGGAAGAAATCAGACCTAGAGACATAATACTGGGTGCCATCAACTTATAGATCGTAAATGAAACCATTGAGAAGATAAAAGTCTTAAGGCTCATTTAGATATCAGGACAATGAAAAGGTCCCAAAGGAGACTGCAGATAAGTATCCAGAGATGTTGGAGAAAAATAAGAGTGTCTCATATCACAAAAGCCAAGGGAAGAAACCTTTTTAAAATGGAAGAAGTGTTCAACTTGAGAAGTAAGATGAGGCTTGAAAAACACCCACTGGATTTAGTGACATAGAAGCCTTTCATGAGCATATTTTTTTCAATTTTAAAGAACCTTTTCTCCTACTACAAAACATTTGAATAAAATGGAAAATAACTTAAACAAGAAATAGTTTATTTTATGACTTTTATACATTGACTTAATTTTTCAAATATTTAATATTTTCAGTGTTATTTATTCTTCTTATGAAGAAGTATTTATTTTTAATGGTCAGACATCCTGAGTTAAATAAAGAAGTATGGAGTTGCCTAAGTAAATCCTTTTAGTGATCTTCTTGGAGCTTTTATATCACAATACTAAGCTCTGTGGTCAGACATTAAAAAGGCATGTTTTCAGAAATGTTAGCTCTTTGACCATTGAAGTAATTGTCCATCCATTCTAGGTCCAACACCTCTACACCTGGCAGCACAGGCTTGCTCATTGGAAACAACCACCTGTCTACTTTATTTCAAAGCTGATTACACACTTTCTGAAAAAAGAGGCTGGATGCCAATTCACTTTGCTGCTTTCTATGACAATATCTGCATCATAATTGTTCTCTGTAGGAAGGATCCTAGTTTACTAGAAGCTGAGGCAACAGCTGAGTAAGTTACTAAGCATTTGTAAAAATATAAATTTCTGCTTTCATGGCTTGCCCCAAACACTGACACTAAAAGGACTGGTTGTTATGATTGATTTGAAAGGCTATGTTGGGCTTACTCTGCTGTCCTTTCTAGTCACTGTCTTCTCCTACCACTTATCTTTAGAATTTATAAAAATGGGAACTTCTATTAACCTATGCATATTTTCTGGAAGAATAAGGAGTAAGCCCTAGGAAGTTTTTCCTAACCTTTTCCCGAAGGTGTGGTTCTACAGATTAGTTTATCAGGTTAACTACTGATACTTAGTGTCCTGGAAGAAGCATGAGACAAGGGAGGAGAAAGTTGTCCTAAATTGGACCTTATACAACCAGGAGGCAGCCTGAGGGCTCCAGACCAAGGTGGATAGACAGTGGACAGTCGGAGAAATATCTAGTGGTATCCAGAATAGAAAGACATTAAAAAAAAGAAAATAACTTTGCAATAGGGAAACATCCCAAACGGTGTTCTGTTTCACAGCTTAGCAACCTTTAGGGTGGAGGTAAACCTTCTCCTGAGGATACATTCTTGGCTAGTAATCTAAATACCAGGTCATTATTTTGGTTTAGGCATAGTTTCAGATATTTTTGGCTCTTCAAATAACTTGCCGATTATTATTCAGTGTAGAAATAAATCCTCCCTAGGTTGGGGCAAAGATGTGTGTGGAAAAGCTTTCGGGAAACCAGGGTCTCTGGCTAATAGATTGTCTGGCAAATGGATTCTGGAAAGAGCCATGGAATGTGGAGACCTGAGTTCAGTTCCTAGTTCTGTCATATTTTGACAATGTGTCTTTGAGCAGAAGGGAGCTAAAAGACTGCATGGATTGTAAAAGGTCAAACAATTGAAAATCAGAGGTAGAAGTAAGAAGCTATCTGTGAACTTAAGGAGGAAGCAAAGGATTCGTAGAGAAGACAATTACCAAGGTTGAGATCTATGTGGAGCCAATGAGGAGTGTGACCAGGCTGGTGCGTATGAATGTGGAGCACAAATGAAGGTATGACAAGGACCTGAGAGATCAGGACACAGATGGTAGTTAGCATGGGTGCTGAATAGAAGGAGGCATGTTGGCGAGGCAGCCGATACATGAGCTAGGCTGGCGGAAGAGGACCCACTTGGCAGGGGGCTGTGGCAGTGTGGAACTGGAAAGGGTCATAATATAACTTGCTAACATATTTTTCAAGTGAGGAATATCAAAGTGATGGTGTTAGAAGTCGGAGTTATCTTTATTCCTACCACTGAGTAGGCGAAAGACAGGAACAGGAGGAGAACTCTCCTGTTAGAATAGAAAAGGGAGAAAATGAAGAGATGTTTACTCATAAAGGATGAGTTTCCCCCGGGCCCAGGAAAAAGAGGAGAAGCTTGGGGCCAGCTGGATATTGGTGAGCATTCAAGGACAGGCAGCAAGAGAAAGGGGCTTCATGAAGAGAAGAAGGCATGGGTATAAGGATAAAACATAAAAGTAATGTTTGAGGCAATGTGATATGGTGAAAAAAGGCAGGGGGACTATGTATGAAGACTGTGCTAATAAGCACCTTATTCATCCCTTACACCAAAACTGTCAGCTGATTTTTGTTACTCTCATAATTTTACCGACAAGAAAGTAACCCAAGTTGCTTAAGGTCACATTGCTAGTCAGTAGACCTGTTAGTTAAGATACAGTTGAAGTTGCCGTGACAAAGCTAGCCCCAAATAGCTGTAGTTTTAAAAAAGATAAACGTAGTTCTTTTTCATGAAGTCTGGGTTGGTGTTCGAGGGCTGGCATAATGGCTTGGCAATATGAGAGACCCAGACGTCCTCTTGTTGCTTCTTCACATGTGGTTTCCATATCCTGGTACAAAATGGCAACTCCTGCTTTCATTATTATGCCTGCATTCTAGCCATGAGAAGAAAGAGAGAGGAAAAGTAATGGCACACTCCCTTTCTCTTTAGGGAATTGCCCAGGTAACTTCTACTAACACCACACAGGCCAGACTCAGTCATGTGGCCATACCTACCTATACGAGGATGTAGGAAATGTAGCATTTGGCTGGACTACCATGTGCCCAACCAAAAACTCTTCACCATCTAAAAAGCAGATGGTGGGTTTTTGAGAAAAACTGTTAGTTTCTGCCACACTGAGGAAGCTGGGATTTGAGAAGTGGACATGAATTGTAAAGAATGGGCTAGCAACTGCATAGCACAGGGAGATCAGCTTGGTGCTTTGTGACCACCTAGAGGGGTGGGATAGGGAGGGTGGGAGGGAGATGCAAGAGGGAGGAGATATGGGGATATATGTAAATGTATAGCTGATTCACTGTGTTATAAAGCAGAAACTAACACACCATTGTAAAGCACTTATACTTCAATAAAGATGTTAAAAAATAATAATAATTAAAAAAAGAAATGGGCTGGAGCACTACCTGAGCCTCAGTTTCATCATTTGTAAAACGGGCTGATAATACTTGCCTTGCTTTTTCCTTCACTCATAGAATTGTAGGGAGCCAATGAGATAGGATAGTCTAAGAACTCTGTACATTATCAACTTCCAAACAAATTGTAATGCATGATAATCGAGTTGGGAGGGAGGGTAGGGGTAGCCAAGGCAAGGGGGGCAAATCTACTGACATGTGGAATATACAGAACAACACTATGTAAGGAAGAGAAGATGATGTATAAATCAGACTTCCTCCAACAGCCATTTGGATAGTTTTACAAGAAGTAAATTTGACACTATGTGTGTGCTCAATTATTATGACATATTCCTTGATTTTTAGGAATCAGTGTACTCCACTGTTACTTGCTGCCACTTCAGGAGCACTGGACACTATTCAGTACCTACTTTCTCTTGGAGCTAACTGGAGAAAAACAGATATTAAAGGAAATAATATAATTCATTTAGCAGTGCTAACCTTTCACACGGAAGTTCTCAAGCATGTAATAGAGTTAAATATTCCTGAACTCCCAGTTTGGAAAACTTTAGTAGGTGAGTACAGAACACATAATCTCTATAAATAAATGTTCTGATCATTATTCAGTTTAATTATTGGTACTTATTCTGAAATAAAACAAAGTAAAGCATGCATCATATTCTGAGTTAAAATCAGAAATACAAATAATACTGGACTATTTTTGTGTGTGTAAAAGTAGTTTTATTTCTAAATTAAAATAAAAGAATAATAACCCAGATGATATTTCACACAATTATATTTATTTTTATTTTCCAACCTTCTCCAAAAGTCCAGCCATCCTCGGCTCCATTAAAAAAAAATAAATAAATAAAAAGAGGTAGGAAATAAAGTTTGAGTGGAAAATATAAGATTCCTTCCAATTCATTCCTCACATCCTAATTTTAGAGACAGATTCAGCAACATCTTTCCTCATATTTTGATAATGTTTTGTGAAAAATTCTATTTGAGGTTTTCTCCCCCAATTTATATTCAATCTAGCCAGAAATATTATAAAGGTAAGAGTTACTGGCCAACTGAATGTACACATCTAATTTTACTCCCTCTCAAGACCCTACTAAAATTATGTAGAGATTAAATAGCAGCAAACAAGCATTGAAGAGAAAACAGGAAAAAGCAATAAAATATTGAAAACAGACAGGCAAGTCTTAGGACGTAGCAGACCAGAGGAATCATTCCAAGCCAACTCTGGGAAAGCTGAGAACGTCTTAGATTCACACCATAAATCCCTAATAGGCTGGCTGGAGAACTGGCAGTGCCAGTCAGGAGTGCTCTCTGCAGAGGCTAACCAGGAAAGACCTAAAGATCTAAAGCGGGGATTCTCCCCAACTAACAGGAAACTGGGAATCTGACCCAAGAGAAAAGCAAAGGGACTTTCAAAGATGACAGCAAAGGGAAGTCCCAGAATGGAAACTGTGTACCCAGACCAAAAGGAAAGTGTGGGAGGAATAACCAATAGGTACAAAGAAAACTAAGCAGATGAAATAAACTAAGGAAATTATTACCTCCAGGAAAAGCAAAAGTAAGGAGACACAAGGTAGTACACTGCAGTACTTAGGTGTGAATAATACCTGTATAGGCATTATAATGTAAGTGTTGAATTTTCATTTAAAAACTATAAATATAGGGAAGTAGGGGAGCAGAGGAAATGGCAGAGCAGTGTTGAAAGAGCTAGTTTCCCATTTATCATGACATGAAGTCAATGATGTCTAAAACTGATATAGCCAAAGGTAACTGTGTGTAAATATTTAGAAATGTGGAGATATGTAAATCACAGAAGGTATAGGGAAAGAGTCCAAAGTGGCACTATCTGGAGAGAGAAATTCAGAAAAGTGGAGAGGGTGGGGTAAAGAACCGTTATATTTTGCTGTAGGCTTTTTAGTAACATTTAACTCTGAATCATGAGCATATATTACTTTAATAAAACTAAAGGAAAAATTAAACGAATTGGAGAATGAGAACTGACATTTCTCTCAACAACTCGTTTTAGGATGGGATAAGATAAATAAATATTTAAGATTTTCAACCTACTGATGCACAAAGTCTGAGTAACTAGTTTCAAAACTGGCTCAATACCTGATTTTGGAATTTACTGGGTGCTGGGAACACATTCCAAGTATATCAGTCCAAGAGATACTGGATGGGGTTTTCAGTGTTTATTTGTATGCATATATATCATTATATCTTAGTCTTTTGAGAGGTAACTAAGAAGACTATCCTGCTGCTTTTGATAAAGGCTAACACATTTGAAATGCAGTGGTAGGACCTTCTGGCCCCTAACAGTAACAGCCTAATGGCACAAAAAATTCTTGACAGCCACTCCTTCCTACAGCGATTGTTGGAAGTCCTGATAATGACATGAACACAACCGTAACCATGAGCGTCTGGCCACTGCTTCTTTGCTCCGTGCCCTATAATAGCTCTTTCTCCTCACACTACCCATTTCCACTATGAGTAAAAGAAGAATTAGAGTTTATTAGAACTCCCCGGGATTAGGTCTTGGAGTGGAAGCTGAATTTTAAAAGAGAGTACCATGGAGTGAACCAGCTAGGTAGGAGTCAGGACCAGATTTGTTGTTATAGGGGCTGGGTAAAAAGAGATGAGCAAAGATATTTCTATGTGGTTTTGCTTGAACCAGAGATATTGTTTAGAATCATGTATATTTGTATTATTTCCTGTCTGGAGTATAAGTTCATTCAAGATTTTTTAAAAGTATCTTCTTCATACTCAGGAAATGTATAAAGCTTTAATGGATATTAAAATTTTATTGACAGTAATGTAGTTTACTTTGCTGTCCTTGAAAACCCATGCTCAGATTTTATTCAACAACTGATATCAGGCAAGAGAGAGGTATACTATTTTCCAACCAATCTAAGTCATTCAGACCAAAGATAAAAAATTTCAGAGTTTTTTAATACTAATTATATAGACTCTAAACTTCAAAGAACATAGGTGTTCAATCCGTTTAAGCACCTCACATGCACAGAGGGGAATTTAATGAATGCAGTTGGTGGTGATGTTGGTGACCTCAACTCATGGCTTCACTTGGCCTGTACAGAAACAGAATCAATCATTCCATTACCTCTTATGAAATTACAATGTGTATTTTTCTGTTGAAAACATACCAGAAATGTTGCAGTGTGAAAGCTATAAACGAAGGATGATGGCTGTCATGTCTTTAGAAGTAATCTGCTTAGCAAATGATGAATACTGGAAATGTATTTTGGATGCAGGTGATGTAAAATCTATTAACTATCTTTTGCTTATGCTATTTTATGTAGGGATTTATTCAGTCAGCCACTTTAAAATGTATTTTTAATTATGGAGAAAACTTTTTAGTTGATTTTTAACTTTCTATTTTTCTAAGATCATTTCCTTTACCTGTAAACCTTATATTTTATATTCCAAGTGGAAGCTGCACAGGATCAAAAAACTATATAAATCTCATTTCTCTAAAAGTTTACAAACTTAAAAATTATATTACATTACTTCATCATACTATCCTTATGTTTACTTTCACTTAAAAATTATCCCTATTCTGTATTGGTACACTTTATTTGTAAAAATAGCAGTTGCAGTGTCAGGCCTGGGTTTGTAACTAGCTCTACATTTAGAACTTAGGCTAATTGCTTACTCTCTGCCTAATTTCCTCATTAATAAAATAGTTACTACCTCACAGGATTGTTTTGAGAATAGCACTTCCCATTATAACTTTCTGAAATGATGGAAATATTCTGTCTATACTATCCATTATGGTAGCCATTACTCTAATGTGAATATTGGGCACAAATGAGATGCTTCATAAATATTTGTTGAATGAATGAAAAATTTATCATAGGTAGTCCCCTAATATGTTCCTAAAAACATGTACAAAAAGCTCTTTGTCCAAAAAAAGTGAACCACGGATAAACAAGTCATGATGGAGGTTTCATTTAAGGTAGCTAAATACATATATACATCCCTAATTATACCTGATATTTCCAGCATGTCATGTGTGCTCTTTAATGTTTTTCCTTCACATTGAACTAAAGTAACAAGCATCCAACTGAAGCCATATTTTCTATTTTCACCACGCCCAATGATTTTCATCTTTGAACAAACTGTAATTAATGAGGCTAAGACTGCTTTATACTAGATTCAGCACTTTTCATTTTTCAGTTGATTGTATAAAACATGGGTAAAACATAATAAAATGCTCAAATAATTATATAAATAACTGCCACACAAAGTTGATGCAGTAACCAAAACTGAACTCTACCATATGGTAGCTCAAATCATTTATATATCAATGATCTTAAGTCAAAATTCAATGTTTCAGCGGTGACTTAGTATCACCAATATGAAATGTATGATTGTGTGCTATGTGAAAATCAAATGTGTAAACAATGAGAGCCGCCTACACTATAGAAAAGAAAGAAAAGTACATTTGCGTAGTTTCAAATGATAATTTTATAAATATTTTACAGAATTATTTGCTGTTTATATGGCAATGCCCATAAACATTATTTAAATCTTACCATGATAAATTGACTACAAATAGTTACAAACAATTCATGCTTTTTCTTGATCTTTTCATTGCAGGCACCATTCCTGCCTTAATCAATCTATTAAAAGGTTCCAAAATAAAATTACAGTGCAAAACAGTTGGGTTATTGAGTAATATCTCAACCCGTGCAAAGATAGTGCATGCTCTAGTAGAAGCAGGAGCTATTCCAGCTTTGATCAACCTACTGGTTTCTGATGAACCCGAACTACAGTCTCGGTGTGCTGTCATTCTATATGATATTGCTCAACTTGAAAACCAGGATGTTATTGCCAAATATGTAAGCTCTTTTCATAGAACATCATTTTGACTGACTAATTCTCTCATATAGAAGCTAGAAAGATACATACCCATTTCATTATGCAGTGGCCCTCATAAACTCTCAGGGAAGAGCTCCAATCTTAATGAGGATGGCAAAGAGAAAACCTGCCACAATCCCATGAGTGCCAAAATTAGACAAGAGCAAGATAGTACCAGAGCAAGCACAGCAAAGGGTTGTCTGTTTTCCCTGTCCTGAAGTCTCACAAGGCAACAGAGTGGGCCCAGGTAGATCATACCTGCACATTGGGTTTGTGTCAAATCTGAGGAACGCTGAGCTTAAGAAACCTATCACTTTGGTAGCAACCAGTAAGCAAGCCTATTCTTTGCCTGGCGGTAGACGTTACCACACCTTTCAAGAATGATAGCAGGATGAGCCAAGATCCAGTAAGTGATAAACAGCATTAGGATATGAGTAAAAGTTGTACTTGCACATGTACCGCTTCTAGGGCCCACATCATGGGGTAATGGCATTATAATGAGAAAAACCACAGGCAAATGAAGTGAACAGTAATTCAAGGAAGTGACACATAAAATCTTGCTAGCTCCAGTTTGGCAAGGTCTGGGGAGGAGTTTATGTTACATAAGGAGGTGGTATCATCTAGGATAGCCTAGATGATATTGTGGTAATATCTCCCAAATATCAATGCTAAAAACAAATGAAGATTTATTTCTCAGTCAAAAAAAAAAAAAAAGATAGCTACATAAAAATCCTGAGAAATGGCCCAGGTAAAAGAGCTGTTACAATCTTGATACACTCCCAATACTGGTAGGAGTGCAAGACACCAAGGGAAAACTGTTTCTCAACAAAATTATCTGGTAAAACTATCACCTAGGACAACATGGAAGACAGGTCAACTGCTTATTTAGCTCTGGGGGATGTGGTTGCTTCTTGTTGTTTATGAGAAGATATTAACAGAAATAGTGCCATCTTGGCTATTTCTATTCTGGCTGGTAAATGTAGTCTATTTGTGTACTAGAAAGAATTAGAAGAAAAAAAAAATTTTTTTTTTGTGAACACCCAGCAATCTTTGCCATGCTGTAGTTTTTCAAATAAAACCCACCTTATTATGTCTATTAATATTTTAGGTAAGACCTTTTAAAGATATTTATAAATAAGGTTATTTTTATAGTTTTTGTCAGGTGACACTTCTTCATTATGGACTGAGTCATTTAGCATTATAAAATATACCCTTTTTGTCAAGTGCAATACTTTTGCCCCAAATTCTGTGTTGTCCAAGATTAGATTTGTGATCTTTGTGTTCTTTTGTGCTCTCATGTTTAATTTGGCTTTGCTTATCATTTTCTTTTTAACTTTTTGGAGTCATTTTACTTCTTGCTGGTTGTTTTGTTATCAATCATTTGGAAAATATATTAGAAATTTTCCCCTCCCCCCAGGCCCACAACTAGAGTTAGTCAGTTAGTCTTATTCATTTAGACCTCACTTTAGACCTCTCCAGTGATTCTGATCACCCAGAGTTAGGATAAATGTGTCCCTTGTATGCAGTATATTTGGGTTTGCTTTGTCATTCACTTTTTATTGAATATAGCTCATTTACATTTATTGATGTGATGTTTAATCTTAGTTTTGGCATATTTTGTTATTATTTTTGGTTCTCTAAAAATCTTCTACTGTATGAGCAGTGTTTTCTTCCTCTTTTTTTCTTTATCTTTAAATTCCAGGACTTACACGTCGGTGTTAGTTACCTATTTTTCCTGGGGCTTGGTGTGACTTTTCAACATGTACATTCATCTTCTTTTATTTTCAGAATGTTTTCTTGAATTCATGTCTTTTAAATATTTTTTCTGTATTATTCTTTCTGTAAATTCATAAACAAGTACTTTTTGAGAGTTTATTGTATGGAAATACACTTCTAGATGTTAGAGTTATAGCAGTGAACAAAACAGACAAAATCCCAGCCTTCATGGAGTTTTTATTCCAGTTGAGGGTAACAAGACAATAAAGAAAATAAACCAAATATAGTATATTCGATGAGAAGAGATGTTAAGGAGGAAAATAAAGCAGGGAAAGGGAAGGGGGGAGCTTGGCAAAAAATACTTCACTAAGAAGCTGACATTTGAAAGAGGGAGAGGGGTGGGGGAGGGATGGATTGGGAGGTTGGGATTAGCAGATGTAAACTATTATATATAGGATGGATAAATAACAAGGTCCTACTGTATAGCACAGGGAACTATATTCAATATCCTGTGATAAACTATAATGGAAAAGAATACGAAAAAAGAATGTATATATGTGTGTGTGTGGGTAACTGAATCACTGTGCTATACAGCAGAAATTAACAAAACATTGTAAATGAACTATACTTCAATAAAATAAATTTAGAAAAAGAAGTTGGCATTTGAGTACAAACCTAAAATAGATGAGGAAGTGTGCCGTGTTTTTCTGTTGGGAAGAGCATTCTAGGCAGAGGAAACAAATGCAAAGTAAATGAAGTGAGAGTATGCCTGGCATATTCAAGGAATAGCAAGTAAGCAAAAGTAGCTGAAGAAAGAGAAATAGGAGACACCTTAGCTGGGTAATGGTGGACCACATCATGTAGGGCCATGTGGATAATTGTTAGACACCCTGGCTTTTTCTCTGAGTATGTTAAGCCATTGAATAATTTTGTTCTGGGAAGTTCCATGAAGAGATTTATATCACTCTACCTTCTGTGTTGAAACAGGTGGGCAAGGGTGGATGCAGCAAGACTAACTAAGAAGCTATTTTGGTAATCCAGGTGACAGACAGTGGTGTCTTGAACCAGGGTGGTAATAGTGGAAATGGTGAGAAGTAGTCATATTCTGTATTATTTTTCTGGGAGTTGAGTCACCAGGAGCTGTGGGAAAGCTGAAAGATCTGGAGGGACCTCAAAGGAGACTAAGAAGGAATGGGCACTGAGGTAGGAGGAAACCTGAGGAATCTGTTGTCCTATCAGCCAAATGGGGAACATGTTCAAAGAGGAGAAGAATATCAGTAGTGTCAAAGGCTGTTGTAAGATGAAAGTCAAAAGTTGACTGTTGAATTTACTGATCACTGAATTAACTTTAATTAACTAATTAAATCTTAACTACACTTCTCTTTGGGAATACCAATTATTTGTGTATTATATCGCCTTTTCCAGTTTTATACAGCTATCATTTTCTCTCTAGTCCTTTTCCACTCACTGTTTTATTTCATTTTTTTCCCCCTCAATCCTATCCTCCTTGTCTCTTGCTATGTTTTCTGGCCTTGTTTATTTTTGTGTAGATTACAGTTTGGCTTTTATATTTTTCCACATCTTTCCTGAGCTTTTCCAGCTCTTGTTTCACCTCTCCCTGTCTCAAAAAATCTTCCCTGAGCACTGATGTCTCTCCTGCACACCCTTGTTTTATAGAGGTGATTGCCTAATTTTTTTCATTGATAACAATATACCATTTTCAGTTAAAGTTTTTCATCTACTTTGTGGCATATCTTTCTTACAAGCATTCTTTATCTGTCATAAGTTTTTCCTATTTTTAATCTTATAATATATTTGGACAGATCCTGTTCTACTTCCTTTTTGAACATTACTCACTTTGAATTAGATAAGTTCTTTCTGGTCTAGCTATTTGCAGGAAATGCATGTGGGAAAGGGCCCAGATCCATGTTCTAGGCTAGCAAGAATACGACATATGCTACAGGGTTGTATGCATGGGTCTGTTCAGCTTCACTTTCCCTTAGCCAGCAGAGACTCTTGCATAGTACTCATAATGTGGATTCTATTTCCTCCACAATGCAAAAGTCTATCTCTTCCTTTTTATCTCACCAATAAGACTACTTGTTCCAAACCTCTTATTGGTATCATTCTTTATTCGTCCTTGCCCTCCTTAATTTTTGAAACTTTAGGACAAATTGGTCCAGGAAAGATCCTGCTGCCATCCTCCATACCCATTCCTCTTGTTCCAGACAGGGATGTGTGTGTGTGTGTGTGTGTGTTGTGTGTGTGTTGTGTGTGTATGTGTATGTTTTCCTGCCCCTTAAGGTAGAGCCACTTACTTTGGAAAACTGTTTTGCCAGTATTTCTTGTAGCCAGTGGCCATGGGAGATCTCGCGCATCCCTGTTGGCTACTCATAAACATTTATTATGGTTCAACATTACTGATGTCTCCTAGCTTTATTGAAAATGATATTACATTTCTGTTTCTTATCTTCTTTAATATCCTTTCATTAATTCTGTTAGTAGGGAGAAATGCCATCTTTAATCCACTTAAAATTAAGAAACTATATTAACATTTAAAAATAATATTTTGTGTTGCATAAATATAATTACCAATTACCAGTGCGATGTATACAATAGCAAATATTTCCAAATGGGCACTGTATTCAATTGGTATTACTTAGTTGTTTCACTTTTAGATACTTAAATGTTACAGTGAACTTGCAGCCTCAAATTATTTTGGTATAGAGGAGACTATTTGAAAATATATTTATAGAGACTTCCCTGGTGGTCCAGTGGTTAAGACTCTGCACTTCCAATGCAGGGGGCATGGGTTCGATCCCTGGTCAGGGAACAAAGATCCCACATGCCATGTGGTACGGCACAGAAAGGAAGGCAGGAAGGAAGGAAGGAAGGAAGGGAGGGAGGCAGAAAATATATTTATAGAATACTTTCCTTAATATTGAAGCATAAGATATGCTCAAGTTGTAATAACTGTCATTTAATGTGCCATATCCGTAGACACATTTGTTTATGGGCAGTTTTTCTCTCCTAAATAAGCAGATATTTATAGCAAGAAAGATTATAGACTTGTGTTTCTAAATAAAGATAGCGTACATCTTAAATAAATTCAATTAAATCTTTTTGTTTATTTTTAGAATGGAATTCCAGCTCTGATAAATCTTTTGAACTTAGACATAGAAAGCGTGCTAGTAAATGTAATGAACTGTCTACGGGTATTATGTATGGGAAACAAAAACAATCAAAGAGCAGTGAGAGACCATAAAGGCATCCCGTATCTTATCACATTTCTGAGTTCTGAGTCAGGTAAGTCTTTAGTTCTATATATTTTAAAGTGACCAGATATATTAAGTGAAGCAAATACATGTTTGGACTTGTCCTTTATGATAGATGTCCTGGATTTATCTTAGGATAGAACTAGACATATGTAACATAACCTAACTTCTGAAACACTTAAATTTAAACTGCTGGATTTATAAAAGGAATTGACTCTCAAAGCCATAATTTTTAAAATGTTGAACTAGATATTTTTATAAATGGAAATATTGGCATGAGTAATGAAAATAATGTAGTTAATATGCCCAGGGACTCAAGTAGATGTCTCCTTGTATGAATAAGACACACATTGATCATTGGAAGCTATTTTTCAAGTTACAATAAGGACTTCAGATTTGCTGTTAGATATTTGATATCAGAATTCAAGGTCATCAGATCATTAGGTTAATTAATTATTAATTAATTAACTTCAGTGCCTATGAACACCAGGAACACCAGAAGCTATGAGGCAGCTTCTGCAGCTACTGCAAATGGTCTCTCAGGTTCTGTAAGAATTTTCTCATTCCAGTGAGCATACACATAAACTTAAAATCTATGGTTTTCCCCACATTTGGGGGAATAAAAAATTGGGGGAAAGGTTGTATGTTTTTCTTCCTGCTCAGTTTATCACCTATCTTTCTATTCTAGTCCTCTAAGAATGAATACAGGATAAATATGTTGGCTAAAATGTAAGACAAGGTTATGGATAAGGGGATTGTTGCAGAAGGCTTTCTTTTACTTTAGAACTTCAAATTTAAGCAATTATCATCTTCTAAGGACCTCTATCATGTAGTGAAATCATTTGAAAGTCCTTTCCCTTCATTACAAATTCCTAAAGTCAGGGAATAGGTTTTCCCTATCCTTTTTCTTCCTCCCAACCCCAGATGCTTGAACAAAGCACAAATTGTAGAGGCAATTTGGATAAATAATAAATGAATTCCTAAAAGAAAGCTATAGAAATGAATTACCAAAATCATTTCTTTTTTGGGCTCTTGCCTCATCTGAAACCTAAATAAAAGTAACATCCTATATTGTAATCTGTACTATCTCTTCACTCCAAGGAGGATAAATACTTTTGAAGAAATTTTAATTGTTTTTCTCCCCATTTATAATTTGTAAATTCTACACTTCTAATTTTAGTGCTTTAACAAATGATTCTCCTGTATATTAGCTGTGCTATTAAGTTTTAGGGGATTACAAAAGAGTTTTATTAATTCCAATATCCTCTTAACTCTTCTGAACCACTCTAAGATTTCATGCATTAAGGTAAAATGGCCCCAAAGTAGATTCACATGCAGTTTCTTAAGACTATGGACTTGTTAACATCTCCAAGGGGTTCCTCAACCTTTGCTGAGTTTGGTTTGTTTGAGGTCTTTGCTTTACCATCTTTAGCTGTTTGTTTCATACTCTTCCCCATATGTATGTACATGCATACATGTTTTTGTTCCTACAGTGCTTCTTATTTCATCTTTTCTAATGCATGCAATTGTCCTGTTCTGTGTTATTAACAAAGGTTTATATAATAACACAACACCACCATGGAAATTCAAATATGTGGTAGAAAGTATATGAAATGATTTTCAACTCCAAACTATCTGAGCAAAATTTAAAGAGTAACCTCATCCTTCTGAAAATGATTATTCATACATTTCACTGCAGAAATATGTTTTCTCCAGATTCTCTGGGATGTTATGTAATGTATAGTATGAGCTCATTATCTTCTAAAATCTGGAACTTTGGAATTCTGAAAGGGTTTTAGATAGAAAAAAAAAACCCAAAACACCTCCATAATTAGGCTTCTTTCACCCAGCTCTTAATGTTGGAGTTCCTCAAGCTTCTGTTCTTGGTCTGCTGCTTTTTTCACACAGCACACGCTTCTTAAGCAATTTTATTTACTCTTAGTAACTTCATTACATTCATAATCTATTCTTCCCAGTTCTCTATCGAAATCCCTGACCTCTCCTCTGAGCTTCAGAGCTAGTCTGGATTATTGAGGTGTAAATAAAGACAGCCCTCTCCCTTTAGAATTTGGGTGCAATTCATAAATAGACACAAGAATGTAATGGAGATCAAAACTTCAGTAACAGCTGGAAAGCTTGCTTTGAGAAAATAGCAAAAAGATAGCACCAAAAGGAAGCTAAGCCATGCGTTTGCAATGACTCATTATTTTATGGGGGTAATGAGTAACATTCCTGAGTGGGAGATGAGAGTAGGAATTTCTACTTTTTGGACTGATGCAGCAATATGGGGTAAGAGAAAGAATGGTTCCCTTCACACTCTCTTAATTTTATTACCTTATTAGCTGAAAAACATCCCAAGTGTTACTAGAGTGATCTATCTAAAATACAAAATTGATTATATCTTTCCCTTACTTTAAATTATTCAGTGGCTCTTTGTCACCTATGATAATGTCCAAAGTTTTAGCATAGCCTATCAGCCTTCTAAACTTCCAACTTGGAAAGGAAATAACCTTCCTGTTATTTCCTGTCACTCCTTTCCTCTCTTATTTTATTCTCAATTAATATTGTACTTATTGCTATTTCATGCTTCTGGCCTTTGAGCTTGCCCCACAAGGCTAAGGACTTTGTTTTGTTGGTTCATCATAGTTTCCCAGTACCTAGGACACTCCTAGTAGCCACTCAATAAAATATTTGCTGAATATATAAGTGATTGAATGATAAAAATATTCATAACAAAAAAGTTAATATATTTGACATAAAGTGAGTATGTAAATTGATATGAACAATAAGGCCTTAATAGACAGACAATTAACCTGAATAGAAAGTCTATGAAAGAACAAATGCTAAATTTAGAGAGTGTGGTTGCTTGAATTTAAAAACACCTTTTTGTACAGTTTTAACTTCTGGAAGCATATTGATGTCTTCACATTAAAAAAAAAACTACATTAAATCTACAAGACAGAAGGAGCAATCTAAAATTGAATACAAACAAAAACAAATGAACCCCATTATATATCAAATGAATTATATAGCTAGATTAAAAAGAAAAAAATGAACACAGATAACTTTTTTAAAATTTTAAAGTAGCTTTTTAAAGTAACTTTTGAGCACAGTGCTTTGCTATACAGCTTCAGTCTAGGGGAGAAAAAAACATATCTTGAATTCTTCTTAGTGGATTTGTATTTCATAGTGATATGGGTGAAACAGCTCTGAACCTGTGTTATAAGTATTGTAGGACTGACCAAATCAATAAAGTGTTAATATTATTGGGTTCTCACTGTGAAAAGAAATATACAGAATGTGGAAAGGCAATAAAGAATCCTGTGGGGTTGGACTGGAATTGGAAAATTGGAAATATATATATTTTCCTAGCCTTGTCTGCTAAAAGAGTCTAGTAGCAATGACACTTCAGTAGCAATGAATATACCTAGTACCAAATCTTTATTTCTAAATACCATTCCTCATTAAAAGAAACCAGAGCTTCTTGGAGAAATGATTGATTCTGGGGCTGGGGCAGAGCAGGTACATGGTAAGTCCAAAACATCATATTGTGGCAGAAAGTAAGAAAATGTGCCCCCCTCAAATGGAGGTGTATCTAAAGGACACAGGGGTCAACTTGAAGGAACTCCCACTGGCCCTTCAAGTTGGACAATCTTGGACAATTGCCAAATCTTGGACAGAGAATCAATACAAATAATGAAATTAGTGGATTATAACTCATTGAATAAAATAAAAATCCAAGAGCCCATCTTGATGATAAGTGGATAAACAAGGAAATAAATAAACAGAGAAGTAGGGAGAGCTCTTCTTTACAGTAGAATGCAACTGATAAGTATGAAGGGAGCAGTAGATTTGGAAAATAAACATTTTGCAAACATCATAGTAAAGATTGGTTTGGGCAAAAATCAGTTGTTGCCAAATCTTAGGAGAGTTCTCTGACTTATTTTTGCAACTTTTCTCTGAATTTTATTTTATTTCATTTTTTGGCTGCACTGTGTCTTCGTTGCTGCATGCAGGCTTTCTCTAGTTGCGGCGAGCAGGGGCTACTCTTCGTTACGGTGCACAGCCTTCTCATTGTGGTGGCTTCTCTTGTTGCGGAGCACAGGCTCTAGGTGCACAGCCTTCAGTAGTTGCAGCATGCAGGCTCAGTAGTTGTGGCTCACGGGCTCTAGAGCACAGGCTCAGTAGTTGTGGTGCACGGGCTTGTTTGCTCCGCGGCATGTGGGATCCTCCTGGATCAGGAATCGAACCCATGTCCCCTGCATTGGCAGGAAGATTTATAACCACTGCACCACCAGGGAAGTCCCTCTCTAAGTTTTAAAGAGAACAATTACAACTTGTTAATATGCATATATGAAAATGTTTAGATTTACTAGTAACCCAAAACAAAGTGAGACACCATTTTTTTGCCTTTATGTATACATAAGAATTTATGTATTTATTCTTAATGATAATATCTGTACTTAAAAAGTTACAGTGACATCGATACTCTCATACTCTGATTATTGGAGAGTAGGATGCTATTATATCATTTGAAAAGCAGTTTTCTGGGGACCAGGTCAGGTTCAAGACAGCAGCATAGGAAGATGCTGAGCTAACTTCCTCCTGCGGGCACACCAAAATTACAACTACTTGCAGAGCAACAATCTCTGAGAACAACCTGAAGACTAGCAGAAAAGATTTCCCACAACTAAAGATATAAAGAAGGAACCACAATGAGATGGTTGAGGGGGCAGAGACATGGTCTGGTCAGGACCCACAGCCCCAATGTAGTGACCCACAAGTGGGAAAGATATCACGGCCACGTAAGTCCTCCCAGTGTAGTGAGGAGTCTGAGCCCCATATCAGGTTCCCCAGCTAGGGCATCCTATGCAAGGAATATAAGCTCCCAAAACTTCTGGCTTTGAAAACCAGTGAGGCGTATGTTTGGGAGAGCCAGAGGGCTGTAGGAAACTGAAACTGCTCTTATGGGTGCATGCAAAATCTCACATGCTCTGAGGCCCACTGCAGAGAGGCAGCAGTTTGAAAGGT